GAAGAGGGCGGGGAGAACATCTGGGGGGAGGATGGGGGCTGGTGGAGAGGGGAGGAGGGGTGAGGGGAGTGAGGGAGCGAGGAGAAGCCGGACGGGGGAGGAGCTTGTGGTCTGAGGAAGACGTCGTCTGCCAGTCCTGAACTCTGGCCCCCCTGCAGGAGGAGGTGCTGCCTGGACTGAGCCTCCCTGGATGCCGACGGATGGAGGGGGGAGGCGTTGCCCCCGGCGACCGGCTGCTGGGCGGGGGTCATGGGGCTGCGGCTGCCGCTCTCAGGGGACAGATGTCCCGTCACGCGCTGCGTGGCGAGGAGCTGCTGCTGACGCTGCTCGTTCTTCACCTGCTCCAACTTCTGACATGCCTCCATCTTAGCCAGCTGCTTACTCTTCTGACGCAGGAGCTGAGAGGAGGAGCAGGAGGAGGAGAGAGAGGGAGGGGAGAGAGAGGAGCAGGAAGGGGAGGGAGAGAGAGGAGAAGGAGGGGGAGAGAGAGAGAGAGAGAGATGTGAGAGAGAGGGAGGGGAGAGAGAGGGGAGAGAGAGAGGAGGGGAGAGAGAGAGGAGGAGAGAGAGAGAGGAACAGGAAGGGGAGAGAGAGAGAGAGAGAGGGGGAGAGAGAGAGAGAGATGTGAGAGAGAGGGAGGGGAGAGAGAGGGAGAGAGAGGGAAAGAGAGGGGAGAGAGAGGGGAGAGAGAGGGGAGAGAGGGGGGAGAGAGGAGCAAGAGGAGAGAGAGAGGAGGAGAGAGGGAGAGAGGGAGAGAGGAGAGAGAGAGGGAGGGGAGAAAGAGAGGGAGGGGAGAAAGAGGGAGAGAGAGGAGCAGGAGGAGGAAAGGGAGAGAGAGGGGAGAGAGAGGGAGGGCAGGGGAGAGAGAGGGGAGAAAGAGAGAGGGAGGGAGAGGAGCAGGAGGAGAGAGAGGAGGAGAGAGAGGAGGAGAGAGGGAGAGAGAGGAGGAGAGAGAGGAGCAGGAGGAGAGAGAGAGAGGAGGAGAAAGAGGGAGAGAGAGAGAGAGGAGGAGAGAGAGGGGGAGGAGCAGGAGGAGCAGATGTCAGAGTGTTGATTGGTCTCTACAGGTGGAGTTAAAACATGATGACATGGCAGCTAGTAATGCTCTCTCTCTGCCCCCCTCCTCCCTCTCTCTCTGTTTGCCTCCCTCCCCCTCTCTGCCCCCCCACCCCCCCAGTGATGGTGGTAGAGACTAAAACACTTCCACCTTTAATGACAGAACTGCTATAATCCTCCTGTGGTTCTGGTTCTGGGTGTGGTGGGGGTTGGTGTGGAGGAGTGAAGGGGGAGTGGAGTGGGTGAGTGGTGGGGCACGTCGAATTTTATAAGGGAGAGATGGAGATAAACTTCTATCAAAGAGAAGAGAGATATGGATGATATCAAAGGAAAGGGCAGGTCGGGATATAGATGGTTGAGATATTGGAGAGATGGGAGGGTTAAGGGAGGGGATTAGAATAAATGTTGGGATGGAGAGATGGATTGATTCACTCTATGAAAGGTAAGAGAGAAGTCGCGGACATACTCTCGAGTGTACCGACTGTCGTGTCGGTCAGCAGTAAACAAAGCGCAGACCGAGCATTTTTGAGGAGTGACGGGTCTCAATAAATCAAATATTACAATTAATTTAATATAAGTGCTTTATATAAAACAAACTCAATAGAAGGCAAAGAGAAGGACCAAGAGTTAGATGTGAATATAGGGTGGAGGAGGAAGGAGTGGTTCACTTCGCTAGACGAGTGTGTGCATCACGTCTTCGGGATTGAATCCAAACGTCCACCCTTCAGTCATACATACTGTGTCATATCACCATCATCATCATCACATCATCATCATGTTCAAGTCTGTGAGGATGCTGGGCCACGAGGGGATGAAATGAGTTGTCAGACACGACTTAAAACCTAACTCATTTTCCATGTAAATGAATGTCTCGTATGAATGAAATAAGCTCTTCGCCCCTGTAACCCATCTGAGACCATGTTTCTAAATAGTTCTGACAGTGGATTGTTTATGCAACAGATTTTAGGGTTTGTTCTGCATTATCAACAGAACATAGATCGGCTGGTACACAGAGTAACCTTTGCCATCAGATGAGGATCAAACACTCGAAATGTTGTACGTACTGGAAATACTCCCAGCTTAGGATCCTCATGTTGTAGCTGGTCCAATTTTTGTCCTAGCCAAATGAAACCAAAAATCGTCTTATATCATTAGCTTCTATGTTGTACATTGCATTGAATATAAATGAGTGAATTATTTTTCATGAGTCTAAGCATTTATGCTATTCCCTTTATTTTCATCCATATTGTGAGTCTGCACCAAGTAGGGTTTAGGGTTAGGTTGTGGCCCACAACATTACCGTCGGTGGACTTGCCAAATGCCCTGGGTTTGCCTGTCAGGCTATATACAATGTGTTGGAGACATATTCAGTCTGAGACAAGAGGAGCTGTATGCTGTTTCATAGCTTGAAAGAAGAACTTGCACCTCTTCTGCCATAATTTTGGTAAAATACGTCTCCCCCTATCACCACTTTTGAAACCAAAACTTTGGATTCAAGCCTCCTCTGTCTGCATTCTACAGCATCTGGAAGGGTGGTGGCGGCCAACCGCTAGCTGATTCCATCAACAAAAGAAGGGATAACAGTCTGGGTATAATAGTGAGAGCCAAGGAGGTGCAACAATGAAATCACCAAGGAAGTGGTGGGCTCAGCCCTGGACTTTTTATCTCTCCATCAGCCCACGGATTCTCACAAACTCCCACCCAAACCCTTAACCACAAGACAGCTTTCAAACCTCAATGGTGACTTTTGGTTCCAATGCACGGTTCACTAGGAACTGGGCAGCGAGAACCTAATCGAACCACATAAAAAAAAACAACAAAGTTTTCCACTGACACCAAGAACCCAGGCCTTAGCAAAGTCAAAAATATGACAGGCTTCTGAAAACCCCTGAGAACATTGAACTGTTATAGTTTCTTCTGCCTCTGTTGAACCTCTCGGGTCAAGAGGTTCACGTCAACCACATATGATCAGAAAGTTTTTCTCAGTTTCAAACATGAGCCATAACCTCTTAACTGAAACAGACAGACCTCTGCGGCCAAGCCACCACACTTTCTTTGGAAATGCAGTTTTGTTCAATTTTGTAGTACTCATTTTTGTTTTCTTTGTGCAGCAATGTCTTCATTTGTTTATTGTGAATATTTTTTGGCTTGTGTCCCCTACTGCAACTCCAATTAGGAGGATCAATGGCTTTAGCTTGGCTTCAAAAAACCAAATATCTCGGGTGAACTTTGTCATGGCTCTTGTCATAAGTGATCCCAAACTCAGTGTCTATGACAAAACTGAACTCAAAGTTTGTTTTACCTGATAAATGTCACTCTAACTTTCACATAATGTGTTTAGGGGTTTCTTTTCTGACAGGATTGGCAATCATGTATTTTTTCTGCCAAAGCAGTCCTTCTCAATTCTTCTAATCATTATTATTATTACATATATATTGATAATGACTTATGTTCTATTGTGTCTATTAAATTCCTGTTCTATTATTTTTAATTTCTATAATTTTATTTATTCAATTTTAATTAATGTGAATGAATAAAATGATACCATTAATTTCAAGATACTACCAGTTTCAGAAAACCAAAACAGTATTTCTGCCTTAACTTAAAGTACAGTTCACCATCCTAGAAGTTTCAAAAAACTGTCCTCGGAGTGATAGGAAACTTTTTTGGATGTTTATGAGTAAAATAGTGTTGGTAGTGGGGGAGCATAATGATAAGTGTGAAAATGGTTACAAGGAAGAACTTGGGGGAGTGATGGGGGAAGTAGGATAGGACGGAGTGATAGGGGACAGTTGGGGGATAGTGGAGTGGGGGATGGGGGGTAGGGAGGGTGGGTGGTATGTTAGGGGAGTGAGGTGTGGGGAGTGATAGGGTGAGTAGGATGGGGGAGTGATAGGGGAGTGGGAGGAGGAGTGATGTGGGTGAGGATGGGAGGTAGTGGAGGGAGGTGCGGGGAGTGGCTGAGGAGTTAGGGGAGTGGTGGGAGGAAGGATGAGTGAGGGGATGATAGCGGATGGCGGAGTGATAGGGGAGTGGGGAGTGTTGGATGCGGGCGAGTGATAAGGGGAGTGGGGCAAGTGATAGGGCATGGAGTGGAGGAGTGGGGGAGTGATAGGGCGAGTGTGGGGAGTGATAGGGGAGTGATTAGGGGAGAAGGTGCTGGGGGGGAGTGATAGGAGTGATAGGGGGAGGGGGGGTACATGTGACTAGGGGAAGTTGGTGAGGCGAGATGATAGAGGGTATCGTGGGAGGATCTGATGGAGGAGTTGGTGTGGTGGAATGTGAAACTAGGGCAGGATGGGTGGGGAAGTGGATAGGGGAGATGGTGGGCGGACGTGATAGGGGGAATACGTGGTGGGAGTGATGGGGGAGTGCGGGGAGTGATAGGGGACGTGGGGGAGTGATACGGAGTGATAGGGGATTGGATTAGGGGATGTGATAGGGGAGTGGGGAGTGATTAGGTGGCAGTGGGTGGGGGAGGTGTGTGGGGGTGATAGGGGAGTTGGGGGGAAGTGATAGGGGAGTGTAGGGGAGTGGGGGGAGTGATTAGGGGAGTGGGTATGCGGAGTGGTGGGGAGTGATAAGCGCATTGGTAGGGAGTGATAGGGGTTAGTGGGGGGAGTGATTAGAGGTAGTGGTGGGGGAGTGTGGGGGAGTGGATTAGGGGATAGGTAGGGAGTGAATAGGGGAGTGGGGGAGTGATAGGGGAGTGGTAGAGAGTTGATAGGGGAGTGGATAGGGGAGTGGGGGAATGAAATTAGGGGATTTGGATGATGGCGAGTGATTAGAACATGGGGGTGAGATAGATTTTAGTGGGGAGTGACGTAGGGAGTGGGTGAGGGAGTGAACGCGGAGTGGTGGGGTAGTGATAACGGAGTGGTGGGGTAGTGATCTCTGTCGGGTTCAGAGCGCTGTTGAAGGAGGTGGCTTTGGTGCTGAGCGGGGTCTCTGGGCCAGGATGTCGGAGAAGGACTTATTGATACTTATAGAAAGGGAAGATCGTGGGTGGATTGGTTGGGAGTCTTGGGACCTGATTAGCTGGCGTAAAGTGCTCGTGACAGACGAGGGTGAGTAACCCCGCAAAAATTAATGAGCAATTCGTAGTTGAAGGGATCTATGGTCGAAAACGATGACAAATTTTGTCCCGTTGCGCCGGCGTTTTGTGGACCCACGGGTTAAATTAATTATGGGAGCGTGGGTAGCTGGGAGATGGGTGGGGGGGAATTGATAGGGGAGTGGTGGAGTGAATAATGGGGATATGGTAGGGGTGAGTGATTTATCCGGCATCTTCCGCATAGGCCGATCCGAGCATAACTTTGTTCGCCTAGAACGCCCTCGATGTGAAGGTTTCGAGGGAGGCGGCACCCATACGTGATCGGTATATATGTGAACGTGCAAGGAATGAAGGCAGCATAAACAACCGGTAATCGAGTGTCCGCGCATGTTTACATAGACTGGTCGGAAGATACTGAGGCAGTCGGCGCTCAGTAACAGAGCCCGGAGGTATACGTGGAGTACCGGGACTTCAGACGAGAGAAATGGTACTCGCGTCGCTTCTAAAAGGACAGGGGGAACGTGTCGGGGTCGTGTTATGTGTGCGGTTTGTCTCGACGGATGTTAGGAGAAGTATGCGGAGTAGCCAGTGGACCGGTGTGCTCTCCATCGACGATGGTGGGGAAGGTGTCAAGGTTTAACCAGGCCGATCGAAGTCGGGGGCGGAGGAGTGATAGGCGGAGTGTGGGGAAGTGCTAAGGGATTGGTTGGACATAAGCGAGAGTGATGTAGGGGAGTGGGTGGGGGGAGGGGGAAGATGAATCGGGGAGTGGTGAGGGGGAGTTGAGGGGGAGGTGGGTAGGGGAGTGATGGGGAGTGGTGGGGGGGTCCTCCCTCCTGACTGCTCTGTCCTGTCCGTCTCTCACCTGGTTCTTCTCACCTGCAGTGACACCTGCTCACAGTGAAGGTGAAGCTGCTGTCGTCCTCCAGGAAACAGCCTCACACTGAGGGGACAACAGTCCAGTCACATGGTCTCAGGTACGTGTGTGTGTGTGTGTGTGTGTGTGTGTGTGTGTGTGTGTGTGTGTGTGTGTGTGTGTGTGTGTGTGTGTGTGGGGGGGGCAGCTCATGGCCATGTCTCTGAGCTGCTCTCAGGTCAGTGTGAGGCTGGAGGACGGCAGCAGACCCACATTCAGAGCAGGAAGTTTCCCTTCACAATAAAAGCAGTCGGTTCTGAGACAGACTGAGGCCACAGACACCGGCTCTGGGTCAACTCCACTTCAACCTGTCAGACTGTTTCCTGTGTTCACGTCACACCCTTCAGATACAAACTGTTCTTTGGCCCAGAGACGACGACTGTGGCCGGTCCTGGTCCACGGGCCTGAAGTCCTCTTCAGTCCCAGTCCTGAGGCTGATCAATGTCTGATTATTGATCACTGATAGATGTTGTTCTTCATTTTCTTTTTAATACTGGACCAATGATCAAATAAAAGTGTGACTGTGTAACAGGATCTGCAACAATGTCAACAGGCTGCAAACAGGCTGTAAACGTGCTGTAAACATGCTGTAATCCAGCAGTAAACGGGCTGTAAACAGGCTGTAAACGGGCTGTAAACAGGCTGTAAACAGGCTGTAAACCAGCAGTAAACAGGCTGTAAACGGGCTGTAAACCAGCAGTAAACAAGCTGTAAACGGGCTGTAAACAGGCTGTAAACCAGCAGTAAACAGGCTGTAAACGGGCTGTAAACAGGCTGTAAAACGGGCAGTAAACAAGCTGTAAATGGGCTGTAAACAGGCTGTAAACAGGCTGCAGACCTCCAGGTGAGTGAAGACTAAGGTGTGACCTGGGACAGGAAGAGGATTTCAGAGCGTGGTGGATCCAGGACGTCTGCCTCGAACAGGTTCTCCTTGAGATCTTACCAGAGCCTCTTTGCCACCTCCTGCTACAGATGCCTGGCAGGAACAATCTTTATCTGTTGGTGATTTTAGGGCTTTGCTTTTGGGGAGATTTTCCTGCCTCTTCTTACCGGCTCCCCATCTGTCATTTACCTCTCCCTTTTCAATGACAATTACATCAGAGACATTAGTGAGTGAGTGAGGCTCCACATCACACATCATCTTCATCAGTGACACAGTGACAACAGCTCTCAGCCCCCCACCTCTCATCTGTCTCTACAGCCCCCTGACATGCAGCCTGATGTTACTATGGTTACTACTCAGAGCGGGAAACCAACACCATCCTGCTGCAGTGACAGACCTGCAGGTGAAAAACATGTTTGATAAAGTGTGTGGAAAATGTTATGGACACACACCACAGGGACTGACTCACATTGCTCAGAGCTCAGTCATGTGTTTGAATAAAGTTGTGTTTGAATAAAGTTAACAATCATAAAGCTGACTTTCTGAGACTGACCGGTTCATCCGTCCTCAGGTCCTCGTGTCATGTTCACTGATTGATTTGTGTGTTTTTGTTCATCTGAGCTGAAGCCTGAAGCGTCTGGTTGTGTGTTAATCTCTCTGCTGCAGCCTCACAGGTTTGACCACGGATATGTTTATATCCTGAGGTTGTGGGTGGAGTCAGCTGTCGGTTTCTCTCTCTGCTTCTACTCGATGGGGGGATGATGTGTTAAAGATAAACACACTGAAACTCTGCTCACCTGTCTCAACTTCCACTCCTGCTCCTGCTCTGACTCTTTGGGTCTCAGTGGGTCCTTGAATGCCAACTCTGCCTCCATGGAAACAGGGTCATATGGTCCCGGTGGCAGCGGCTGCTGCGGCTGCTGCGGCGGCAGCGGCTGCTGCTGCTGTTGCTGCTGCTGCTGCTGCGGCTGCTGCGAGGGCGGGTGGCGTTTGAGCGGGTCGTTGGACAGCTGCACCTTGTTGATGCGCTGAGCCGCTCGGTTATCACGAGCTTTTTGCTGCAGAGAGAGAAAACACAGAGTCTGAGCCCGACATTTATTAACCACTGCAGATCCACAACTGCTCCACATGGTCTGGTCTAGCTTGGGGGGGTTCATTTTAGGGTCACAACTTTTCAATCTGTATGGTCCTACTTGGTGATGTCATCAGGAGACAGTAAGGACTTTGAGCAGCAGCGGTTGAAGGGACGTAGATTCTGTGTTGATACTTCCTACAGTTGCAGCATGTTCCTCTTCATCTCATGATTGAACTGTTGTGAACCTTTGTCACCTCCATCCTCTGTTACTGAGGAAATGATGCTGTCCGTGGTGCTGAAGTCACAAACACCTCATCTCAAATCAAATTGGCTCTAAAACAAATATCAAGAGCTCTCAGCTCATTTTGAGAGACATGTAGTAACATTCAGAGAGACCTCGTTTTCCTAAAGTAGTGAAGTAACTATTGTTAGGGTTAAATGTTGCTTAGCGACCTTTGATTTCCATCACTACGGCAACACATTGGGATGCATACGAGTGCCGTAGCTTCACTTCAAACGTTGCTGCTCGAAGTCCCTCGTGTCTCCTCTGACGACACCGGACCAACTGATGCTCAACCAGCATCAAACTGGGAGTACTGGTTCAGTTCAAAGAGAGAGAGAGAGAGAGAGAGAGAGAGAGAGAGGCAATTCTCCAGGATCCACCACCATCATCTTCATCTTCTCTTTTTCTGATTTATATTTCTATCATTCAACCAGAGCTTTAACCCTCTGTAGATGACACATAATATAAGTGATAATGACACAGATGAAAGATCAGCTGCATAAAAGCAAAAGTAAACAAAAACATTTCCTGTTTTTTTATTCAGATAAATAAGAAAAGTGATGCACAGACAGGTTCAATAATAAACAATAATTCTGTTGAGAAACTGTTAATGAGTATTGATCACACTCACCACGTAGGGAGCTCTGTCCTGAGAGCTGGCTTTTCTCCACAGCTTGGCAATCTGCTTCACTCTGGTGGACCAGTCTGACACACACACACATAAGTTGTTTTATTATTTTTACAGTGTTCAGGACAACTCCAGCTGCTAACATGCTTCATGTAAACGTGTGTGTGTGCGCGTGTGTGAGTGTATGTGTGTGTATGTGTATGTGTATGTGTGTGTGTGTGTGTGTGTGTGTGTGTGTGTGTGTGTGTGTGTGTGTGTGTGTGTGTGTGTGTGTGTGTGTGTGTGNTGTGTGTGTGTGTACCAGGATACTGCTCCCTCAGCTGGGGGAAGTTGGTGTTGCAGTAGAGGACAGGGGCGACAGTGGCCAGCTCTCCCAGAGTTTCCTCTTTCTCCCACTTCAACATGCCTCTTTGAGCCGTCGACATCACATCCTGCTCGCCCTCTCCTGCTGTCGCCTGATTGGCCGAGGCCTGCCCAGGGGGGCCGGTGCTGGGGCTGGGTAGCAGAGCGGGGGCGTGGCCTTCAGGAGGGGGCATCCTAAAGCCTGCTGGACCCTGGACACCGCTGGGCATCATGGGAGTGTTGGGGAAGTGAGGAGCAGCTCCCATCAGGCCATTCATCAGCGGCAGTTGTGGAAACACAGCGCCTGCTCAGAGACAGAGTTTAATAATCAATGGATCTGATCAGTTATTTATTGAGAGAACTGTCCAGTCACTGTCCGTTTCCTGTCACAGGAGTGACCCTGAAGACATCACCTCACTTTATTCACCGCCTTCTGACATTTCATTGAGTGTTAATGGATTCATGTAGAAACAGTGAGGATGAAGCAGACATGACGCCTCTCCCCTGTGCTCTGAGTCTGTCACAGCCTGAATCCACTAACAGTGAACACCTCATCAGTTTTATAATGAACTTCACCTTTGTTTTTTTTTTTTAGTATATTTTTTTGGGCTTTTGTGCCTTTATTGGACAGGTTAGTATAGAGAGACAGGAAATGGGGAGGCAGAGAGGGGGAATGACATGCAGTAAAGGGCCGTCCGATGCGGGATTTGAACCGGGCCCGACTGCAGCGAGGACTGTAGCCTCTACATATAGGGCGCCTGCTTTAGACCACTACGCCACTCGACGCCCCGAACTTCACCTTTGTTGTTATCACAGCAATGACACAGTTTCTGTTGAAAGAAGACTCAAGTCTCTAGCTGTCATTTACCTATTGTGTCAGACACTAAACCAGGGTCAGATTGTGATTGTTTGTCTGTGTGTGTGTGTGTGTGTGTGTGTGTGTGTGTGTGTGTACCTGTGTGGTGTGTGTGTGTCTTGCTCCCTGCAGCAGCAGTGTGAGTGTGTTGGCTCTGCTCTGGTTGGTTGTTGCTGTTTGGACTGAGAACAGCAGTGAACACCTCCTCCACATCTTTCCCCTCCAGCTCTGCAGGACAGACAACAACCAGAGTTATCTGTCTCCAGTGACTGCTGATCAGCTGTTTACAGGTGAGGTGAGTGTGTTCAGTCTTACCTGGGATCTTGTAGAGTTTGCTGAGGATGGCACCTGAAACAGAACATATCAGTCAGCTTCACTATGAACACTGTGTTCATCACTGCTGGATTCCTCCTCTACAGTCTCTACATATATATAAATATGTACTGTATGTATATATACACACATATGATCTGATCCAGCAGTTTACAGCAGGAACATCAGATTCTATTTTTCTGGTGAAAGTCAGTTTGAGGACTGAGCTGAAAAGAGTCCACATCTGGTTGTCTCTTGTAACAGGAGAATAAACAGCACACACTGTGACCTTCACTGATCGAGATGATCAACTGAAGGGTAATCAATATTGAAAATAATAAACATCCAGATTCTTCCTCAACAGTTTTAGAGGAGCCAATTTTATGTTTAATCTTGATCAAATCATCATGATCTAGGAAGGAGAGCACTCACAGTCCAGGCTGGAACCTCATCAACAGACACCACTCACCGTCAGTGACCATCTTGTCCAGCTCAGGACTCAAGATGGCATCCAAAGGCTCCTCCTGCACCACCCTCTGGCCACGCCCACAACTTCCTGTCGGCTCAGAGGTCAAAGATGAGTCATTGGCCATGGAGCTGATGTCCAGCCCGGCTGAGAGACAGACAGTCAGACAGGTTAAATAATGTCCTGAACGAAAGGACAGACAGACAGACAGACAGAAAGGAGGTGAGAAGGAAGCTGCAGCAAAATGTTTTATCTGAAGGAGAAGAAGAAGAAGAAGGTTTTATCTGGAGGAGAAGAAGAAGAAGGTCGTCCTGTGCAGTCTTACCAAACGGAGAGGGGGAGCGCTCCACCTGGAACTGACCTGAAAACAAACATACACAGTGTTAAACCTTAGTGCTGCCGCCTGTGAGACAACACTCTTCTTCTTTGGTGTCACTATTTAGTTCTGCCTCTGTGGACCAGCTGACAAACATCTGGGATGAACTCAACAGGAAGGAAAACACAAAGAAACATGAATAAGCAGTTGGGGGGGGGGGGGGGTTACCTGTGTGTCCTGTAGCCAGTATGTGAGGGTCAGTGTTGAGAACATCAGACAGATCCAACAGAGCTTCTTCCGACATGGCTGGATGGTAACACACACACACACACACACACACACGACAACACACACACATGATTCACCATGTGGATCAAACACAATGAAAGATGAAGATCTGATGATTACAGAAAGAAAACATCTGAAGTAAAGAAATGACTCACGCAGAGTTCCCTGTCTCTTGCTGGTTGCCATGGCACCGACTAGCAGTCCTGAGGGGGAGGGGCCATGTAAATCAGGGGTGGGGCTTTTCATGTCACCTGTTGCCGCTCCTGATTGGCTGCCGCCTGGTGTCTCTGGCCCCGCCCTCCTGTCCACCTGCCGACTCCGGTCCAGAAGATCCCGACCGAAGAACGCCTCCTGGGACAGGGACAGCCAATAAGAAGGCTGGGATTCATTGTGTGTGTGTGTGTGTGTGTGTGTGTGTGTGTGTGTGTGTGTGTGTGTGTGTGTGTGTGTGAGAGTTACCTGGAGATAAGATGGGAAAGCCTCCTCCAGCTTCGTCTTCTTCTTCCTGTATCTCTTCTTCACCTTCTCCATGGTCTGGTCTGCAGGCAGCACCGTCTCTATGGCAACCTCAGCATCCAACAGGCCTGACACATGATGAACACACACGATGAAAACATTGTTAGTCAGCTGTTCGCATACTCAACACTTTGACATCAGCGTGAAGTCATAAAGAAGGTGGGGGCTTGTCCACGTGTTCATAGGTACAGGTGTCTCACCTTCGTCTCGGCCCAGCAGCGTCTCCGCTGAATCTTTTCTGCACAGTTTGATTCTGCTGGGACCTGCCTTCCCTCCACGCTGACGCACCATGAACCCCCCGATACCTGAGACACAGAGACATATAGAGATGAGGACAGGTAGACACATAGAGATGAGGACAGGTAGACATGAGGACAGGTAGAGATGAGGACAGGAGACAGGTAGACATGTAGAGATGAGGAAGGGAGACAGGTAGACATGAGGACAAGTAGACATGTAGAAATGAGGACAGGAGACAGGCAGACATGAGGACAGGTAGACAGAGTCAGACAGTCTACCCTCCTCACCTGGCCTGTAGGGTTTCCTCTTCCTCTTCTTGTTGCCGTCAGTAACCTCAGGCTCCTTGGTGACATCGTCATCGTGGGCGTGGTCTCGCTCGGGGCTGGAGTCGGATTTCATCTCACACTCCAAGTCACCTGGAGAAAATTGGAGACTCCATTACATCAGTTAGGCTCCCTACAAGTACAGAAAGACACGCATGTTCTCTGTGACCTCTGACCTCTGCTGTGGTCCTGCTCAGCGGGGGGGTCGGGGTCAGGGGGGGTCTGGAGGACAGACACGCTGTTCTGGTTGATGATCCTCAGCTTCAGTTTGGGTTTACACCTGCAGGCAGGACACAGGTGATCAGTCTGACGACTCATCACCTCACCTGGAACAGATGCACCAGAAAAGAAGAGAGTGGCGCGTTTACCTGCGATACTTGCGTGGTGACGTCAGGGGTTCAACCAGAGACTGCAGGTGAGACAGACCTGACTCTGTGAGACACACTCCGTCCTGAGTGTAGGTCTTTGTGTCTGTGCGCGCGCACACACACACACACACACACACACACACACACACACACACACACAGTTACATTACAACCTATAACATTATAATATATTTCATAGCATCTATATGTAACATTGCAATGATACAACAAACTGATAAAAAAAATATGTGTATAAAGGATCAGAAAGCCAAAGATAGAGACTGAGCATTTATTATTGTTGTTGTTGTTGTTTTTACTACAAACACATGAAACAAACACAATAAAGGGTGTGTGATAAAAGCAAAGTAGAGGAGCAGTAGTCTGATACCATCTACTATAAGAGTACACAACACAGTAATATATATTAATAATGATCTTCTCTGCGTTAAAAGAAATATGATGCAGCTTTAGGGCTGGGTGATAAAACGATAAAGATAATTATTGCGAAATAACTTTTCCTCAATGGAAATATAAGACATGGTCGATACAACGTCGATAGAACTCATCCGTGTTTTGACAGACAACACGAACAGCCGTGCCCACCTGCACGTCAGGAGTGGGAGAGAGGTAAAAGAGAAAATGACAGCAGAAAATGTTATGGAAAACTTGAGCGACAGCGTTACCGAAGAGGACACCCCAATGCGCAAAGCCCAAGGCTCAAAAGACCAGGACATCGCTGAGAAGAAGGCTCAGAGGAATTCGGTAGTGTGGAGATACTTTGGCTGATTAAAGAAGCAAAGGAGCGTGCACTGCAAACTGTGCAGAAAGCATGTTCCCACAAAAACAGTTAATACCACTAATCTTTTTTACCATTGAGGCAGCGCCATCGACTCGAGCATGCACAATGCAAGACAAAGCTTTTGATGATCAGAATTAAGATTTTAGTTTATAATATACACCTATTCTATTTATTTGAAATACAGTTGTATAATGTTCTACAGTGTATTTGTCATGTTCAACTTGACAAAAAAAAAAAAAAAATTTAAACCAAAATTAACCTCATGATATCTTCACGTCACTAAGGAGTAAAAAGCTTTCAGCTTGATATGCAGCGTGTAATAATATTAATGAATTACATAACGTAATAATAATTATGATATAACATAACAAAATATAACATAAGATAAATGGCTGCAACAGATCTCTATGACAGAGTAGACAGTCAGACTGACCTGGTTCTTTGATCCTGGAGATGATCTGAGCCATGTAGGGAGAATCAAAACTCTCTGACCTCCCTGAAACAAACAAACACACACACACACACACACACACACACACACACACACACACACACACACACACACACACCAGTGTAAACATTCAATTAACACAGTGGTCCAAATTTCAGAATAAAGCTCATGTTAACAGGAGCAGAGGCATTCACACATGTGCTGCAGTGACACAGCTGGAGCCCTGTGGTCTGACCTGACAGCTGTTGAGTGAGTGAGTGTGATGTTACCGTATGAGCCACGGCTGTGTGTTCTGCACAGCGAACAGTCGAAGCCTTCGTCAGCAGCAACCTCCACCTCATCCTCAGTGGGCAGACCCTGACACACAGCATGTACCCACCTACACACACACAAGCGCACGCACGCACGCACGCACGCACGTGTTAGGAGTGGCGACGGTATGAGTAGGACTCACGCCACAACACACACACACACACACACACACACACACACACACACACACACACACAGGTAATGTAAATGTGTGTAGATAAATGAATCCACTCCCCAGTTTCAACACTGTCACTTGTTGCTGTTTGAGTGTGTGTGTGTGAGTGCATGTGTGTATGTGCGTGTGTTTGAGTGTGTGTGTGTTTGAGTGCGTGTGTGTGTGTATGTGCGTGTGTTTGAGTGCGTGTGTGTGTTTGAGTGCGTGTGTGTATGTGCGTGTGTTTGAGTGCGTGTGTGTTTGAGTGCGTGTGTGTGTGTGTGTATGTGCGTGTGTGTTTGAGTGCATGTGTGTGTGTGTGTGTGTGTGTATGTGCATGTGTTTGAGTGCGTGTGTGTGTGCTTGTTTGTGCATGGTACCTGTCACACTGCTGACACAGCAGTATAAGGTCGTCCTGTGTGTACTGTCTCTGACACAGTGGACAGCGGCTCAGACTGGCACACGGTCCACAGCGACTGTAGTTACTCTGCCAATCACAGTGCAGCCCGGGGGAGGCGGAGCCACACTGCACACACCACACACACCTGAGGACAACACACACAGTTAGAGAAGGGTGACAGACAGGCAGGTGACTGACAGGTGACAGACATGCAGGTGACAGACAGACAGGTGACAGACAGGCAGGTGACTGACAGGCAGGTGACAGACAGGCGGACCCACCACTTGCACTTCCAGGCTCCTTTAGGGACTGTATGGAGGGGCGGGTCCAAACAGTAGGTGTGGTAGCTGATATCACAGTCGTCACATAGCAACAGTCGCCCGGGGTCACTAGCCTCGCCACACGCCTCACACACTGTACACTCCAGACAGCGCCACCCTTTGGTCAGAACCACCCGTGTAATCTGAACACAACCACAGAGAGTAACCAGATTAAAGAGGGAGTAATCTGATTACAGGACATCTAAACAGGTTACACTAATCAAATAATAATTAGCATCAGATTATAAAATGATCATTCAAGTGATCAGATTATAGTAAAAGTAAACAAACCAGATTAGTCAAACTGTCCTAAATACTCAAATGATATGAAAACCAGATTCTGATTACAGGAGGAGTATTCTGATTGTAGGAAGAGTAACCCCATTACAAGAAAAGTAATGACAAAGAAAGGAATAATCCAATTATAGGAGTAGAATCAAATGTGTTAGTATAATGAGATTAGATTAAGATTATCCAGGTAACAGAGTGGTCACAGTGTATAATGAACAGTAGTCTGATCGCAGGTGGTGTAATCTCATTCCAAAATTACTGAATGTTTCAGAGAAGATTTTTTAAAATATCAATCACTATTGATCAAGTAGTAATAATCATTCAGTGTGTATATACTGACCTTGACATTGACACAGTAGGGATGGTAACACTGTCCACACTGAGAACAGGCCAACAGTCTGCCCTCAGCACCCTGACCAAAACTACCACACACCACACACATGTCCTGGACACACACACACACACACACACACACACACACACACACACACACACACACGATTACTGCATGTTCCACTGTCTTTTTTCTGTCTTACGTATTGTCTGGTGGTCCCGACACTCAAGTATCATAGCAACAATAGAACTGAATGATGATGACCAGGTGAGAGTCTACCTGTCTGAGGGTGAAGTGGTCGGAGGTGGAGAACATCACCACTGTGTTGTGCATCGAATTCTCCTCCTCCTCCTTCGGCTGGAACGGCTCCACATATCCACACTGACACAGAGAGAGGACTAATCAATATCAATCAATAACTACTGATCAAGTATTCAATATTAGACTGACAGTTCAATCCCAGTCCGAGATATAAACTGTGTTAGAGCCCACCCGTGTATGTGTATATGTGTGTGTGTGTGTGTGTGTGTGTGTGTGTGTGTTCTTACTCCAGGTGACACAGTCTGACTGTCCTGAGTCTTCAGTCTGCTCCTGCCTCTGCCCCCTCCTCTTCCTCCTCCAACACTTCCTCCTCTGGACCTCCTCCTGCCTGGAAACCCTGAACCACGGCCCTGGGGGGGTGTTACATCAAACCATGACATCACTGCTTAAATGACAGGGCTTACAACACATCTGTTACCATGGAAACACTGGAAACCCCTACCTTTCAAGGACTTAAAAGTTTTTTACTCACTACATAGGACCAAACCAGCAACTGTCCCAACCCGACACTCACCTAGTTCCTAAACGCCCCACAGTCACTTCGTTTCTAAATGCCCCACAATCACTTAGTTCCTGAACACCCCACGCTCATTTAGTTCCTGAACGCCCCACGCTCATTTAGTTCACCACAAAAAAAAAAAAAAAAACAGATGACTGAAGGTCTCCAAATCTGAGGAGCATTTCATCGCCCACCTTTACACCCCAGAGGGGTGGACACACAGACACAGTTAGTAAGCTGGTGTTAGCTCCAGAACACAGAGGCAGACTGATAGAGCGAGCACCTGTTTTTCACACTGCTACATCCCAGAGGGACAGGTGAGAGTAAACACAGGGTTAGTATGCTGCAGGTTAGTTACAGAGACCTATCAGAGTTAGGGTGCACTTCTTTACCACTCTCATGCTCCAGAGGGGGGAGTCCGGTGGGCGGGGCTTAGGGCTGTCCCACCCTCCCTCCCCCGTGGAATCCTGGGAGGACGAGGGGGGGCTCACTGCCCTGCGATTACTCCACCACGAACCCTGAGTTAGGGAGGAGGAGCAGGAGGAAGATGGATGAAGTGAAGGAGGAGGAGGCCAAAGAAAAGGAGGAAAGAGGAAGAGGAAGTATAGAAGAAGAGGAGGAGGAAGAGGAGGGAGGGGGAGGAGGAAGAAGAGGAGTGGGACAAAATGCAGTAACATAAATGCAACAGCCACAAAACAAAAAGTCAAACTGAAACAGAAAAAATAAAAATCAGGCAAAAACCAACAGAAAGTCATAATGAGTTGATGTTACCATGACAACAACATGCAACCAATCAGTCATACTGGGACACACCGACTGTCATACTGGGACACAGAAACACAAACTTCGTGCAGTGATCTCCATGTTCTTCACAGGACTTCATGCTACAGCTGTGTTTGTTTGTGTGTGTGTCTGTGTGTGTGTGTGTGTGTGTGTGTGTGTGTGTGTGTGTGTGTGTGTGTAAACCAAACATGCTGAGAGACCAGAGGAAATGATGCAGCATTAGTGATCGACAGGTGAGGATGAGGAGGATCATGTTCTTTAAACTGCCTCCCTGAGCTGAGTGAAGGAGCAGCTCCACCCTGAGAGGGGAATGCAGAACAATAACCCAACACACAGAAGAAGAGGAAGAGGAAGAAGAACCCAACACACAGAAGAAGAAGAGGAAGAACAAGAACCCAACACACAGAAGACGAAGAAGAACCCAACACACAGAAGACGAAGAAGAAGAAGAACATGAAGAAGAAGAACCCAACACCAGGAAGAAGAAAAAGAAGAAGAACACCTAGAAGAAGAGGAGGAGGAGGAGAAGAAGAAGACTGCTCCTTCTCTCTAAGGAGAATCTGAATCAAACCTTCATATTGATCCTGATCAGGGATCAGTTACTGGATTGAAAGAAATCTGAACCAATAAACCAATCAACTGTTTTCATACCTGATGAATGAAGTGACTGAGTTCATACTGATCCCCAAACCAGGTGTCAACACACCTGTGGAGGTCAAAGGTCACATACCTGTTTGACTCTGGCTCTGCCTGGAGAAAACTTCCTCTTAGAGATGGCTGGTTTCCCCATGCCGATCTTAGGAGTGAGGGGGAGCATGGTGGTGGGAGGGGCCGGGGGCTAGGAGCAGAAAATACACAAGGAAAGGTCAGTCACAAGGAGGAGGACACTAAGGGGAGGACACAAGGAGGAGGACACAAGGAGGGGGAACAAGGAGGAGGACACTAAGGGGAGGACACAAGGGGGAGGACACTAGGAGGAGGAAACAAGGGGGAGGACACAAGGGGGACACTATGGGGAGGACAATAAGGGGAGGATGCAAGGGGGAGGACACAAGGAGGAGGACACAAGGGGGAGGACACTATGGGGAAGACACTAAGGGGAGGACACAAGGGGGGGGACACAAGGGGGACACTATGGGGAGGACAATAAGGGGAGGACGCAAGGGGGGGACACAAGGGGGACACTATGGGGAGGACAATAAGGGGAGGACGCAAGGGGGAGGACACAAGGGGGAGGACACTAGGGGGAGGACACTAGGGGGAGGACACTAGGAGGAATACACTAGGGGGAGGAAACAAGGAGGAGAACACTAAGGGGAGGACACAAGGGGGAGGACACAAGGGGGACACTATGAGGAGGACAATAAGGAGAGAACGCAAGGGGGAAGACCCTAGGGGGAGGACACAAGGAGGAGGACACTAGGGGGAGGACACTAGGGGAAGGAAACAAGGAGGAGGACACAAGGAGGAGGACAAAGGGGGAGGAAACAAGGAGTAGGACACTAGGGGGAGGACACTAGGGGGAGGAAACAAGGAGGTGGACACAAGGAGGAGGAAACAAGGAGGAGGAAACTAAGGGGAGGACACAAGGGGGAGGACACAAGGGGGAGGACACAAGGAGGAGGACACAAGGAGGAGGAAACAAGGAGGAAACAAGGTGGAAACAAGGAAGAGACGGTCACAGTTGTGTTTTTTCAGATTTACCTTGGAGAGAGGTGGAGACTCTCTGGCAGGGGGGGAGGCCCTGAGAGGAGGTGAAGGTGGAGAGAGCGGAGGCGGGGTGACAGGAGTTCTGGTGGGGGAGGTCTCGGGGGAGGCCTCAGTGGAGAAGGGAGACTGCCTCAGACGGATGGAGAGGTCATCCGAAGGCCTGGAGGAGCAGGGAGGAGGCCTGAGAGTCCGACCTTTCCCCCGGCGGGAGAGAAGAGGTGGGCTGGGGGAGGAGAGGTGGAGGAGGGAGGGTGGAAGGGATGTGGAGGTCATCAGCTCCATCACCTCCTTGTCAAAAGAGGCGTCCAGGTCCAGCACAGGGCTCACCGGCTCCTCCTCCTCCACATCTGATTGGTCCTCCTGCTTGGCACCCTCCCTTGCCTCCTCCTCCTCCTCTTCATAATCCCTACCCTGCTCCTCCTCTTCTTCCTCCTCCTCCTGCTCTACATTCTGCCTCTCCCTCATTGGCTGTTGCCCAAGAACCACCTCTGGAGTGGCCGCCCCGTCTGATGCTGGCTCCTCCTCTTCCTCCCTCTCTGAAGGCTCAGCATGTGATTGGTACTCATCTTTGGTGGGTTCTGTTGCCACAGCAACAGGTTCAAACTGGCTCTGTGATTGGCTGCAAAGTGTTTTGTCCTCTAGTCCCACCTCCTCTCCCATCACTGTCTCGACTCCTCTTTGATTGGTGGGCACCTCTTCCTGGGAGTGATCCTCCAGAGGAGGGGAGGGAGGAGGTGACGTGTGGGGGGAGCAGGAGGGGGGTAAGGCAGTCCTGTGATGGGAAGATGAAGGGGAAGCCTCCAGAGAACCAGCTCTAGGAAGAGGTTCAGATTGGGGAGAAGGGAGGGCGAAGGCAAGAGGTGAAGATGGGGGGGAGCAAGAGGTCTGCTGGAGGGGGGAGGCAGAGTGAGGCATAGGAGGTATAGGGGAGGCAGCAGGAGACCAGTCTTCATTCAGGACCGAGGCGGACTGGACTCCTGCAGACAGAAACACTGACAGTGAGTCCGGATGAAGACTTGAACTCCTCCTCATCCTCAGTCTCAGCTCAGGCGTCTTCACATCAGCTGATGTTTCTCTAAATCAGCGGTTCCCAACCTGTGGCGCGGGGCCCATTGGTGGCCCACCAAGGTGTTGAAAGTGGGCAGACAAATAATTTGCAAAACAGAACAATTTTGGTGAAAAGATGTTATTATAAAAAATTATGAAAAATTAAAATGTAAATAATGTTTCTGAATGCTTTGAAAATAAATTCTTTAAAAACTTTACGAATGTTGAAAATAGCAGCGTCAGGAACGTTTGTGTTGTCACTGGTCAGACCTCAGTGTATACCTGGTTCGATCGTTATCATTAAAATTAAAAGTGCTCTGAGATTATTTGGCCTCCATATTGTTACAGGGTCGGATGTGGCGGCCAACATAAGTGGGCCATGAGCTGGAGAAGGATGGGAACCACTGCTCTACATGTGTTGAGCGTTGTTTATATCAATCAAATCAAACTTTATTTGTACAGCACTTTTCATACAGGTTAGTTCTTCACAGACTGATGAGCTAAAAATCAAAAGGAAAAATCAAGTCAGAAAGCTGAGAATGAAAATAGAAAATAGAATAATAAAAGAATAGTTATTGAATGTGATGACTAGAACCTGGGAGCAGGACTGATGGACGAAGTCTCGACACTCTTGAAAGTCAGAACCACAACTCTGCTTCTTACTGTGTCACCTCAGCAGGTCAGAGCAGCTGGTGCCTACCTGATGGAGGTTCTTCCTCCTGGTCTTGTTCTCCTCCTTCCTCCGTCCTCCCAAAAGGCTCCTCCTCTTCCCATTTCTCCATTGTCGTCTGATGAGGCTCCTCCTCCTCCTGCTGTGGAGCTTCTCTGTCCATCTCCTCCTCTTCAGTCTTCCTCTGTTCCTCCACCACACGGAAGTCTACAGGAACAAGAAGATGTGAACTCAGCAAACTGAAACACGGTAAGCTTTCACCTCCAACATCAGAGGGAGGTGAGGGGAAATAAAGAACAAAGAGTCTCTACAACACAAGTTGTTACACCCTCACTCACTCATTCTGACCCGTCAACTAAAATCTGACCTTATAGGCTACATGTTCTCAGTCCACCTGGTCCAGATCAGGTAAAACTTTTCTTTTTGGACCTTGAGGGAAAATGGCCGCCTATCCATAATATATATTTAGTTTATTATTCCTCTCCTTTCATAAGCGGAGGCAGTTCTGGTTTTAGCCTTTTTACTTGCTGCCATAAGAATTCCTGTCAGTTTCTGATCATCATTAGTCCTCCCTTTAAAGTTCCCAATGTAAACAGCATCATATCTAAAATACATAAGTAGTGTGTTTGTGTATTTCCTGTCAATGCGGAAGTGGTTGGCGTCAACCAAACTTCATTTTTCCAGCAATATTCTCTTTATGTGGTCGAACTAGTTGAATTCCCCTGTGCTCGACATATTACTCTCCAGCCTCCTCTGGATATCATGTCACAGCAACTATTTAAATCACGATTTTCAATGTCTATGCCACAAGTGACACACACAAACACAATATTTTAATAGTGTACGTCCCTGATACTCACCCACAGTGGCTGCAGACTCTCTCTCTGTGTCTGTGTCTTGCTTGGGGGTGGAAACAGATCGGCTTCCTGGACCATGATCAGGCCACACAGGGCCACCAGGACCAGGACTAGGGCTGTTTTCAGACGGAACAGGGGCGACAACAGAAGGGCAGACTGGACTGGGAGCAGGGTTAGCCTCACACCTCATAGTGCTACCAGGAACAGGACTGAGACTAACTTCTGGCCGCACAGGACTGACAGGACCAGGACTTAGGATAGTCTGTGTACAACCTGAATCTGTAGGGACTGAAACTGGACTTGCAGCTGGGCTATTGTGCACAGAACTAGCTTGAGCCTGTGGAGCATGAGAGGAGAATGTGTGAGCAGGACTGACCGGTGAGGGGGCAGGGGGTTGATGACTAGGCATCGCAGTGTTATCCTGAGTGGGTCTAGGATGGACAGGGCTGGTGTGGCTCAGACTAGCCTCAGTGGAAGTAGCATCAACAGGGGAGGGGGGTCTTTGATACAAGGGGCTTACCAAGGCAGTGCTTTGTTGAACTTCAGCTGCAGACCTGTCAGGGGCAGGATTAGGACTAACTGGGGACTGGCTCACCGGGCTCAGACTAGCCTGGTTGGGGCTAGCAGCAGGTGAGGCATCTGGCTGGAAGCCGGCAGGTTCTGGGTCTGTAGGTTTAACCAGACCAGGATCAAGCTGAACTGCACTGGGAAGAACAGATGTCTGGATTATGGAACTGGCCACAGAGTCCACATCAAGACTTGAACTAGCCAAAGAGGGGCTCAGTTGTGCCACACTAAGGCCAGCATTGGTTCCAGTGTCTGGAGCTGGGCTGTAATGTGGGCTACCTGCGGGGCTACGATCAGTTTCACTGGCCTGAGCTGGACTGTGAGATGGACTAACACAAACAACAGAAGCATGTGCAGGGCTGCTGTGTGTCGAGTTAGGTAATGAGGGACTCTGTCTTCGGACAGGACCTGAGTGGGCACTACTAGAGGTGCTCTGTATGTGAACAGGACTAGCTTGACCAGCAGGACTAGACCTAGGGGGACTGTGGAAGATGCAAACATCAGTCACAGTAGCAGAGTGGGGACCTATCTGGCCACTGCTCTCTGAGGTAATGTTGCTCAGACTGTGGCTTACAGAACTACTAGCTGGGCTAGTACCAGACTGCCTACAGTGTGGAGGACTAAAGCTAGCTGGAGCAGTCTGTGAAGGACTGCAGGTAGTTTGGACATGTGAGGGACTTGAGTGACCAGGATGTGTGGGACTTTGGCTCGTCTGAGTCTGTGTGAGCTCTATGGTGCTCATCAGACTGCAGCCGCTGTTTGTGTCTGTGTGGACTGGGCCAGCGTGAGTGACACTGGTATGTACTGGACTGCCAGGAGTGGAGTTAAGATGACTGGGACCAGCTTCTGACTCAATAAAAACAGTTGGGTGGTCGACAGCTACCTCCATCTCCTTATCCTGACACGAGAGAGCGTGGGTGGGTCTAGTCAGTACTGCCGAGGGGCTACTCTCAGCAGCTAAAGGGCTGATGTGGGCAAGGCTAGTTTCTGTTGGAATGGGGCTAGCATGGGCCCGAAGAGAGCTGGTAACGCTTGTAGGCATTTCACTGGCTTGTGTGGGGCTAGCACTAGCTGAGCTAGCTTGGATATGTATGGGGCTAGCTTTACCTTCCATGCAGCTTGACAGTCTGTCATGAGCATGTCTCTGATGAACTTGGCTAGCTGCGGGAGGACTTTCCTCCGTTTCATCAGCACAATGTGAGAGAGTTAGGCTACTGTGTTCTGCTGAAGTGCTAATGTGAAGAAGGCTTTCTGGTGTGGAGATAACAGATACATGGTGGGGGCTAGAATGGCTGGGGCTAAGCATACTACTCTGAACAGGACCATGCTGGTTTGGGAGTTGACCATCTGTGCCATGGCTATCAGGGGGCACTGTGGACAGTTCAGAGGCGGGGCTAAGAAGGGCAGGGGTACTTTCCAGTGTTTGGCCATCAAAGTTTGAACTCAGCTGTACAGGGCTATGCTCTGTGGTATTGGTTTGGGTGCATTCCTCGGTGACTTCTAACTGTGCAGTAAGCCAAGAGGGAAGCAGGCTGTGCTGCAAAGGCCTTACAGGCTGTCTAGAGTGGGCCTGTTCTGGGCTAGCAGGCTGTGACAAACTACACTGTGTAGGTCTGAGTGGGGACGGTGATGGGCTACATGGAGCTGAAATGGGCCTCAGTAAGGCATGACTTCTTTTTGTCTGGGCGAACCCACAGTAGACTAATGAAGGGTCCTGGTCCAGTGTAGAAATGTCCTGTGCAGCCCCACATAGCAGGTGGGCAGGGCTGCTTGATCCAGGTCTCTCCTGGTCCAGTGTAGAATCAGCTTCCTGTGTGGGACTCTGAGGAGGGGACGTCCAGACTTGTGCAGGACTATGTGGTGTAGGGTTAGTCCATCTTTGTGAGGGACTGTACTGAGACTGTGTGATGATGTTGTTGGCAGGAATACATGGTCTATCATGGTCTACCTGCGCAGGACTCTGAGGTGGAGGGCTGTGCTGGGGCTCTTCAAGCCTTGGGTGAACCTGGGGTGGACTGTTTGGTGGAGGGCTGTGCTTAGACTGTGCAAGGCCACAAGACATGGGACTACCCTGCATTGGACTCTGCTGAGACTCTGTGGAATTTTGGGTAGGGCTAGGAGTGGTGTAACTGAACTGACGAGGACTATACTGGGCCTGCATGGAAGTCACATGGGTAGGGCTTTGTTGCAGCTCAGCGGGACCATGAGGGGATGGCATAGTTCTTTTTTGGAGTTGTGTTGAACCAAGGTGAGACTGTGTAGGGCTTTCAAGCTCTGCTGGACTAAGGGGAGAAGGGGTATGGCTCTCCTGGAGTTGTGTAGGATCAAGGTTAAATGACACAGGACTTTCATGGAGTTCTGCTGAACAACTGTTGAAGGGTGATGGACTTTGTTGGACCTCTGTAGGATCAGGGTGAGATGGCGCAGGACTTTGCTGGAGTTCAGCAGTATCAAGGCAAGGTGGCAAAGGCCTTGTTTCAAGGTCTGTTGCACCAGGGTGAGATGGTGGTGGACTTTTTTGACGGTCTACTCGATTAGAATGAGATGATTTACAAATTTGTTGGAGCTCTGATGGGTCAGGATGAGAAGGTGTTGGACTTTGTTGAACTTTTGATGGATCGGGGTGAAGAAGTGCAGGACTTTGTTGGCGCTCTGATGAGTCAGGGTGAAGAGGTGCCGGGCTTTTTTGGAGCTCCGATGGGTCAGGATGAGAAGGTGCCGGACTTTGTTGAACTTTTGATGGATCGGGGTGAAGAGGTGCAGGACTTTGTTGGCGCTCTGATAAGTCAGGGTGAAGAGGTGCCGGGCTTTTTTGGAGCTCTGATGGGTCAGGTTGAAGAGATGCCAGACTTTGTTGAATCTCTGATGGATCAGGGTGAAGAGGTGCAGGACTTTGTTGGAGCTCTAATGAGTCAGGATGAAGCAGTGCCAGGCTTTTTCGGAGCTCTGATGGGTCAGAGTGAAGAGATACTAGACTTTGTTGAGCCTCTGATGGATCAGGGTGAAGAGATGCAGGAGTTTGTTGAGCCTCTGATGGATCAGGGTGAAGAGGTGCCGGACTTTGTTGAACCTCTGATGGGTCAGGGTGAAGAGGTGCCGGACTTTGTTGTAGCTCTGATGGGTCAGGGTGAAGAGGTGCCAGACTTTGTTGAACCTCTGATGGATCAGGGTGAAGAGGTGCCGGACTTTGTTGAACATCTGATGGGTCAGGGTGAAGAGGTGCCGGACTTTGTTGAACCTCTGATGGGTCAGGGTGAAGAGGTGGCGAACTTTGTTGGAGCTCTGATGGGTCAGGGTGAATGGGTACCGGACTTTGTTGAACCTCTGATGGATCAGGGTGAAGAGGTGCCGGACTTTGTTGAACCTCTGATGGGTCAGGGTGAAGAGGTGGCGAACTTTGTTGGAGCTCTGATGGGTCAGGGTGAATGGGTACCGGACTTTGTTGAACCTCTGATGGATCAGGGTGAAGAGGTGCCAGACTTTGCTGAACCTCTGATGGGTCAGGGTGAAGAGGTTCCGGACTTTGTTGAACCTTTGATGGGTCAGGGTGAAGAGGTGCCAGACTTTGTTGAACCTCTGATGGATCAGGGTGAAGAGGTGCCGGACTTTGTTGAACCTCTGATGGGTCAGGGTGAATGGGTATCAGACTTTGTTGAACCTCTGATGGATCAGTGTGAAGAGGTGGCGGACTTTGTTGTAGCTCTGACGGATCAGTGTGAAGAGGTGCCGGACTTTGTTGAACCTCTGATGGATCAGGGTGAAGAGGTGCAGGACTTTGTTGAACCTCTGATGGATCAGGGTGAAGAGGTGCAGGACTTTGTTGAACCTCTGATGGATCAGTGAGAAGAGGTGCAGGACTTTGTTGAACCTCTGATGGATCAGTGTAAAGAGGTGCAGGACTTTGTTGAACCTCTGATGGGTCAGGGTGAAGAGGTGCCGGACTTTGTTGAACCTCTGATTGGTCAGGGTGAAGAGGTGCCGGACTTTGTTGGAGCTCTGATGGGTCAAGGTGAGATGGTGTAAGACTCTGCTGTGATGGTGTACACATTGTCTCAATAGGACTCTGTGGTGGCTCTGAGCAGACTAGCTGGACTGGGCTATGAGGGGTAGGACTGGTGGGTGAACCCTCAGTATGACTGCAAAGTGGTGGTTGTGAAATGCAAATGGGACTGACGGGCAAGGCTGGGGTAGGACTGTGTGGGGTTGGAGTGTTCAGAATTAGATCCTCCTCCTGAGGCCTGCAGGTGGAGCAGATGTAACTTTCAGACCCTGCCCTGCCCTCCCCGGCCTGGACAATGCACTCTGTATGGACACACCTGTAAGACAACACAATAATTAAAGTTTATTTTTGCAAAATCAATGATGTTTCCACTAAGTGCTGGAAGTGAGCCCAGTCCTGGGACACGGCGGCCCGTGGCGTGTCCCAGTGGCAGCTATGACCTGGGTGGCGCACAGCTGCAAAATGTATATAAATGGAACTCTATAAATCCGAGGTCACTAATAGGCAGACCATGGTCCTGATATGGACTAAGATGCCGTCCTATCCAGACCTGGACCAATAACCAGGTGTTTTTAGTTTAACCAGCACAGCTTTTCAAGTCTGTACAACACTGGTCACGTGATGCTGCTCAGCCAGTCATTGTGACCTGAGTCAGTGAGTGTGATGCACACAGGGGAGAGACAATAGTCGTAGAAATATGTGGGGAAAGTGGGATACAAGAGTGAATGAAAGAAAAGTAGCTGTTAAAGCTGTTCAGTTGTTAAATGTGCAATATGTATATTCTGCCACTAGGGGTCTCTCAATCAAAACTGTAACAAAAGAGATTTCTCTTATTACTTATGATCCAGATGTTCAGCAGGTTTTGACCAGCAGCTAAATTATCCACAGAGGTGTCCTCCTCTCCACAACAAACAGATCAGGTGATTAAAACTGGTAAAAACACAGAATAATGCAGTTTCACTGACGCCGTTCAACAGAGACAGGTCGTCTTGGAGTGGCTGGGAGCTGGGAGCTGAGAGCTGCTTGCCTTTGTTTGGCCTTTTTCTCTGATAAGTTAAGATCATGCATCCGATGACTAAAATCCTTTATCTTGTTAAAATACATATTGTTGAATCCAACCAATATGTAAAAGGTGAATCTTAAAAATTAGACTTCAAACTAAATAAAAGTCAATTTTTTTTTTTGACACATGATCATAGAGGATATGATGTCATCGACCAATGAAACATTACCATGATTAAAAATCTCAGATTCATCTGAATTGATGGAAACATTTGTGATAATGTAAGAACAAAACTCAACAACACATAGAACACAGGTCTAGTTGTTTTTAGACATTTTAATGTGGAGAAGTCACAGATTGTAACTTTAAGATGTGTTGAGATTGTTTAAATGGTTGAGACTGTTAAGATGTGAAATGGAGAAAGAGTAAAACTCAAACTACACATTTGATTTTTCTAAAATTAAGCTGCACATTTTTCACAGGCTCTCTTATGTATTTATTACATTTTATCATACACATATACATTAAATAACTTTATTATTAATGTTAGATGAGTCATTATTTATAATTACTAGTTTATTTTAGTGATGCTGTCATGTTCCAAGATCTCACATATTACCTCGAAATTAGGGACAAAACTATGAGGATGAGATGGAGGTTGTAATAAACTGGACTTGTCTGCTGCCAGTGACTTTAACTTCACAGTAAAAGCCACATCAAGTCTTTTCAGCTCAGGTCTTTTAATGTGAAGAAGCTACAGGAAGTAACTTTGCAAACCCTAGATGGAGAGAGAGAGAGACAGAAAATGTATGTGTGTGCGCGTTTGTGTATACCTATAGCAGCAGGTACAGGTGAGATATTCCTGTGGTGTGTAGATGTTGGGGGTGTGGCCACATAGAGGGCAGGGCAGGGCTGGGTCACATGACTCGCACAGAAATGGGTGATTGGCCCACTGACCTGATGACCTCACACCACAGCGGCGGCAGATTCTGCAGTTCTGGAAGAGAGAGAGGTTTTATGAAGGGCTGACACCAGTGTGTGTTTCTGAGTGTGTGTGTGTGTGTGTGTGTGTGTTATCTCACTTTGCAGCTCCAGCCGGTGCTCTGTGTGTTATCCAGAGGTGGTGTGAGACAGTGTGTGTGGTAAGCTTTATCACAGTGCTCACACACTAGCAACGCACCATCATCCCCTCGCAACCTAACACAGAGGGAGAGAGCAGGGGGCGGGGCTCAGTGTAATCAGATTACAACTATCCCACCGACCACATCGCTACAACGACAGTACAGTGCTCACACACCTGGACTGAAGTCTACGTCTGGCACTCAGAGGTGAGATTCAAAGGTTAACGCACAACAAATATTATGAATGTGACAGTTTACTGAACATCAGGAAAAGATTGTGCTCAGGCTCTGGGAAAAAAAAAAAACACTCCTCCCTCTCAACCAGAGGTGGAGAGAAACGACCAAAATCAACAACTAAGAAGAATTAATGATTAAAATGAACAGCAGACAGGAAGTATCGTAGAAAATAAGGAGCTCCTACATGAACACAATATTCAGTGGCTCAGCAGCTGATGCCATGTTTACCTTGTGTTTGTGTTCTTAGTGAGATTCTACAATTCTACAATGTCATTTGGCAGGAGATGCTGAAAGTCAGTGACCTGACAGCTGAGGGAGAGGATGACGGACAGTCTCCCCTCCTCTCTTACACTTTATAGATGAGTTCTCAATCAACACTGATCCATTGATCAGAGAAACCATTAATCCATTGATCAGTAATGGAGGTGACTGAGAGAAGTGTTACCTGCAGCTCTGACACACTCGACACTGAGGACACTGCCAACCTGCTCGGCACAGGGGGGAGGGGGCCAAAGGGGGGTCCAGACAACTGCCATGGTAACGGCTACCACAGCAACAACACATCAACAGACTGCTGTCATCACAGCCACCGGAACACAACACACACTGTGAAGAGACTAGAGAGAGAGCTGCCATTAAACCACAGAAGAAGATGATTAGGTCATTACAACTGTGTCTGGTACACAGTGTGAGTGTGTGTGTGTGTGTGTGTGTGTGTGTGTACCTGTGTGTGTGTGTCTTGTACACAGTGTGTGTCTCTGGTTCCAGTCCTGATGAGCCCCAGCGGCAGCAGCACAGGGGAAGTGGTAGCTCCGCCCACAGCCCATCTCCCGACAACGCAGCGAAGCCCCGAGCCGACGGCAGAACGCACACACCTGGAGAGGTGAGAGAAGGAGCGGGGCTTAGTGAGGGTGTATACAGCAGTACTCCCTCTGAACATGTGGTTACTGATCAAACACACCTGTGTGCTTCCTGAGTCGATGGCTTTGTCCACGTAGAGCAGTGATTGGCCCTCGCCTCGACACACCCCCGCTGACCAGGCTGCACACTGCAGGTGAGCGCAGCACTGACCTGCACACAGGAGGACAGGTGAGGAGGATAGGAGAGGACAGGTGAGGAGGACAGGTGAGGAGGACAGGTGAGGAGGACAGGAGAGGAGGACAGGAGAGGAGGACAGGAGAGGAGGACAGGTGAAGAGGACAGGTGAAGAGGACAGGTGAAGAGGACAGGATTTACCTGTTGGGTCGAACAGTGACTGGACGTTGATGTCGTGTGGAAGGCCGATGGGTCCGAGCTGCTCCACGAACTCAGAGGAAGACTCTGAAACACCAGGACACAGATCAACATCCAATCAGTGATCAATAACACTGATCATACTGATCACAGTGATCAGGACTGAAGCAGCTGGTCCATCTTAAAGAGATAGTTGTGGTTATCAGACGTGGGGCTGTGTGAGGTCGTCATTACAGTCAGTGTCTCACCTGTAGTAAAGTCAGTTTAGAGGAGCAGAGTGACGAGCTGCTGTAGGCGGGGCCAGCACTAAACACCTGTTTTAGATACGCCCACTGAAACAATCCAACATCTGTTTGAATGAAGCTTCATGTATCGTTATCTGGTTTTAAAAGCATCTAGAACAGATGTTTTCTGGTGGCCCCGCCCACAGCAGCTCATCACTCTGCTCCTGGTCAGATCGAACTGGGAGCGTGCTGCTCAGGATCTACTGCAGGTAACGCACCGACTCTTCATGACCGCCTCACACACCCCCACCTCTAAACTCCCAACTGTCCCTTTTAAGAGGAAGTCAGGTTTAATGCTGCAGACCAGAGGGAGAGACCTGATCCTGAATCAGATCCACCACTGTCAGGTGGTATGAAGATACAGTACTCACCACACTGCTCCGGACTGCTGCACCTATACACACACACACACACACACACACACACACACACACACACACACACAAGTTAACCAACATGTCTAAGATCCATTTTAACCAGCTTGAACACAGCAGCTCTTCTTCATGGGAATGTAAATGGTGATGTAGGCGGTTTGCGGAAGTGAGGTCACTCACAAGGGTGGGGCCTGGTCGCCACGGTAGCAGTGGTCATGGCAGTCATTGTCTCGGTCAGAGGAGGCGCGGCGGTTGAGGATGTGGAGAGGGATGTAGCCGGGCGTCGGGCCAAACACCGCCAGGCGGCCCTGGCCCAGAGGAGGCTCATCGCCACAGTAGCAGAAGGCACACTGCTTCAGACTATGGGGCAAGAGACAGCGACAGATACCAGGAGAGAGAGAGAGAATTCAGGACTGGGTGGTCTGTTGTCTGATTGGTCTTTGATCCAATCAGCGCGCGCGCGCACACACACACACACACACACACACACACACACACACACACACACACACACACACACACACACACACACACACACACACACACACACACACACACACACACACCGTTTTTTGGTGTGTCCCAGGCTGGGGGTGGGCGAGCCCCCGGAGTCCTCTGACAGCGACCTCTGGAACAGGGGGGACAGCGAGTCCTCGTCCTCCAGCTGAAGACAGGGGGAGACCGGAGGGCTGAAGCAGGGACTCAGGTCGGGACTCTGCTCCATGGGACTGGCCCCAGGACTTGCCCTGCCCCCCTCTGTCTCCATAGGAACCGTGCCGGGACTGCAGTCCACCTCCATGGGGGCCGGGCTGTGGCTGGGCCGGTCCTCCTCCACAGGACCGGGAGTGGGGCTGTGAACCGGGCTACAGTCCGGGGAAGGACACTGGGGGGCGGGCAGGGGGCTGACTTGAGGTTCTTCCCCAGGACTGGAAGCTGATCCGGGGGGGGAGACCGAGAGCTCAGCAGTAGGAGCAGGGCTGGTTCTGTCCTCCTCCTCCACACTGGGAGCAGGTTCTGGGCTGGACTCTGAGATTGTGGGGGCAGGGTGAGATGGACCAGGGTCAGGGTCCAGCTTAGGCTCTTGACTGAGCCCGTCCTGGCTGGGTTCAGGGTACGGGTCAGGTTCTGGATTTGTGTTAGATTTCCTCCTGGAGGTGGATCGACGGCGTCCTGTTGTCCTCTCCTTCACCTCCTTCACCTCTGTGGACCACAAACACAAAGTCCAGCAACATGAACCTGAACCTCACTGAGGTCAAACCGAACATCAGACCTGAAATACAGTCCCTTAACATCTGAGTTAAGGTTTCCTTAAAATAAAAACTGTTGATCAAAACACCTTAAATCTTCTCCTTCAGTATTTCAGGTTTTCTCCTTATCTTAGTCTTAAACTTCAGGAATCACTTAACATCAGTTAAACTGTTGCACAAAAGCCCTTAGTGACCAACGTTCACCTGGTGAAGTTCCTGTCAAAACAACGGGGGGATGAGGTCACAGGTATCACAAGCTAATGGCAGCAAATCAACAGTCTCCATGGAAACTAAGAGATTTTGTGCAACAGCCTTAATTGACTCCCTCAGCTGAGGAGAAATTAACCTTTAAGTGTCAGACTTAAGGAGGGAACTTAAGGTGTTTGATGGTTTGAATGAGGACTGTGAGATCAGCTGGCTCTTCATCATCATACACACCTGTCTTCTGAGGGGCTTTCTTCTCCGTGGCGTCCATGCTCTCCTCATCCTCTACCTGGGCTCGACCTCGACTCCGCCCCCTGCACACACACACCCACACACCTGGTCAGTTGACTGTCTCTGTGTGAAGCTCTGTCAGTCCCTAGACACCGATGTCTCCATGAGGGTCCTGATGATGCAGGATGACATCACTAGAACTGTCCAATCGGTGAGCTTCCATTTTTCATCTTTTAAAACCTTTTCACACCAATACAGTTCAACGGCAGCACAAACTGCAGCCTCCAGGTGACCAAGTGCACCTGCAGGACGCTGGTGGGACGGAGACGACATTAAGCCTCGTTTCCACCGCAGGAACCAGGGTCTAAATTTAGTTCCGGGGTAATTGATCGACCCCCAAAAAGGTAACTTTTGTTCCTGAACCAAGGTTCAGGAACTTTGGTGGATGTGGTCTGCAGTGCTGAACATTTCTGACTGGTCAAGTACTCGCTGTATTTTATTTCACTCGCCATGTTTAAAAGTCCGCAGCGAGCAAGCGAGCAAGCACATTTTCCACAGTGTGAAACAGGTCCAGGACAAGGTAAAAAAAAAAACTAAATAGGACTTCAAAAAAATAAAGGACCACAACAACCGGAGTGGCGAGGGTTGCCACCCGTCACGTATAATACGGGATTGTCATGTATTTGAAAATAAAATGCTGCTTCCTGTATTGAATATATACGGGTGTTTTCGTTCATGTCATGTCCTCACAGTGAATAATGTGATGTCAAGTCATAATTTTGCATAATCCTTCCGGGACTTTAGGCCGCGGTGGAAACACAGAAAACAGTGGAACTTAAAGTTCCAGGTACTTTTTGGACGAAACGCGGCTTTAGATGACAGCGCCACACCCACAGGAGTGTAGAGGAAGCGTTCAGAGCCTCAAACACTGATAGGAGGAGCTGGCTTCATCAGCTTTCTTCATTATTACTTAATTATCATCAAATGTGAGCAACAGAATATTTACCATCATGTAAAACACAAAGTAACATGAGCTCATCAAACCTGAACGATTATTGATTAATGGAGAAAACATGTGAACTGATTATCAAAATAAAATAATTAATAATAACTGTCCATCAACCTGTTGACAGAAAACACCTGCACCAGGTGTTCAGGTAAACATGATGACATCCCACCACCAGAGAGGGAGTCCTTCTAGCAGTGTGTGTGTGTTTGTGTGTGTGTGTACAGCAGGAGGTAAAACCAGGAGCAGATCTAGTCCAGTACACACCTCCTGTTGGACTCCTCCTCCTTGCTGCTCATTACCCAGCATGCAACTTAACCACTTCCTCTCCAACAACTCGCTCACCACACACACACACACACACACACACACACACACACACACACACACACACACACACACACACACACACACACCTCACTGCTGGCTCAGTCTGTCAGAGAAGACGTTTAGTTCAAAGCTGCTCAAACTAAAGACTTTTGGTTATTGATTATTGATTATATTTGACTGATGAGGAGAACTTATTTCATACACTTGGTCTGGTGTGACAGAGCTGAAACATACTATTATTACAGATCAATAATCAATTAGCTGTCTGATTAATAAACAAACACTAGAACCAAACAAACTGAGGGTTCGTTCACATCAGACAGTTTGATGAGGAGTCTGTGTCAGGGTCCTGAGAAACCTCCTCTGATGAAACCAGACCAGGTCCAGAGACCGGGTTTCAGACAGTCAAACTCATCAGTCACTTACTTCTTCCTTGATTTTGGAGGCGGTGGAGGAGGTGGTGGAGGAGGAGGAGGAGGAGGAGGAGGAGGAGGGGCGGGAGGCGCAGATCGGCCGCTGCTCCCATCTTTCCGAGGCCGTCCACGAGGCCGCCTCTCGGGGGCAGGGTTCGTAGCAGCAGCTTTGGCCAGCTGAGCGCTGCGTCCGGCCCGAGTGACGGGAGGGGGCGGTCCTCTGTCCCGGGGCTCCTGAGACTGGGCCTCAGATGGCATTCTGGGTATAAAAAAAAAAAAAAAAAAGAGGGTGAAGGTCAGATCTGGTCCCAGGGTTTCTGCAGGTCCACAGGTTAAAGTTTAAATCCTGTTTCACCACAGCGATTGATCAGTACACGATCAGGACACGGTCAGGACGTCCTGAGACAGTGACCCTGGTGATGAGACTGTGTTCACTCTGCTGTCAGCCACAGACAGATGTTCAACACCTGCAGGGTAAAACTCAGGAAGCTGGTTAGAATAAACCAGGTCAACATGACGACACACACTGTGGTCATGTGATTCATCTCCACTCCACAACATGGCAGCTCCATCACAGACCCCATTTAGACACATTATAATGTTCAGTGTTTACTGGAGTACATTATGTTCCAGTCCGGGTCAGACCGGGTCAGTCCCGCTAACACCACCTCAGTGCTAAACAGAGCTCAGTGATTGGATGTGATTCCTCAGTCTGCCATTTTTTTTTATATTGAAAAAGTTTTAATTTACCCAGAATTCATTGCATCACAGTCCGGCTTAAAATAGTCAAGAACTGAACTGGTTTGTGCGGCAGATGAATTCAGACTCAGCCTCTCTGAGACCAGATCCTGGACCATTTTTTAGACTTGTGTATTTAGTCTGACTGCTTTGATCTGATCTTCTGGAGCGTGGTCTGACCGACTTCTGACTGACTACAGGGTGTTCAGTCTGCAGGTTCGAGCCCCTGTAGCCACATTAGCTTTGCATGCCGGGATGCGGAGGAGTGAGATCAACAGCTGTTCACAGACAGCCGGGGAACGAGTGGAGGTCTGATCGAGATCAGTTACTGATCAGACGATAATACCTGATCAATTTCCTTCTTATTTGATCTTTTGTCCTTCAATATCTGGACTCTGCTCTTAAATACTGAATTCACCCCAATATAATCATCAGTATCAGTTAATTGATTAATTATCAGATGATCAGAGTCACTATGAAGTTTTGACTTAAACATCCACCTGACTTCAACAACTGAAGACACACATGACCAATGAGAGGAGAGGACCGGCTCACCTGGACTTCACTCTGAAGAGACTGAACTCATCCACTGAATCAGTCTCACCCTGAGGCCAAGTCCACATCAGGACTGGGGACGGATCCTGAGACCCGGCTGGAGCACAGAGTGCAGTAGAATCCATTAGAGTCCGGTAATGTAGACTGGAGTACAGCAGTGTGAGCCACTGACCCACTGGCAACATGTCAATCATCCAGCCAATCACAGCACACCCCCTCCCAGCAGCCAATGAGTAAACAAAAAACACCAGTGACTGTTGACCCCTGTCATCCTGACAGAACCTAGTCTTTTATTTTTACTGCAGGTCAGTGTGTCACTCTGAGACAACACTATCACACACTCATCAAAACTATCAGTATTAACAATCAATGATCAATCACATGATCTGAAGAAAGAAAAGCACCACAGCCTCACAGGAGAGAAGAACCAGCTGATGTTTAAATTACCACGGATTCAATTATTCAATCATCAGAACAGTTGCTGCTTAATTTCCTGTTGATTAACTGATTGATTAATTGACTGATGGTTGCAGCTTAAGTGATGGTGGTGTAAACCCCCGTCACCACGGGCACCACTACCTGTGCCTACAGACACCCCCCCCACCCCCACCCCCAAACCCCCCCCCCCCCACCCCGTCTTGACTTTGAGTTTATATTCCTCCTATTAGACGTCCCTACACAGAGACCAGCACCGGCACGTTGGTGAGAGCAGGGTTTTCTTTGTGGGGGTGGTTGTTAGTTTCTTACATGTAATTAATCCAGTTTGTCCTGGTGTGTCAACTGGACCACCGGGACGTCTCTCAGCAAAGACAACTGCAAAGAGCAGAAACCGTCCTGCTCTACAACAACACACTGACTGGAGGACAATGATGTGTCAAACATGGACAGAGCCACCAGAAACATCAGTCTCCCTGTCTGTGCCCCCACCACCACCACAAAAACACTGCAAGTGAACACCCTAAGACCTGGTGAGCACACCTGGACGTGTGAGCCGCTTCACATCATTGGTGTAACTGGCTATTATTTTCACCACTGATTAATCTGCCCATTATTTTGTGGACTAAGTGGACTAATTTCATTATTATTGTTTGTTATTCATTATTAACTGTTATTATTATTATTCTTACCAAAGAGCTATTTGACACATGAATATCCCCTTGAGGATAAATATAGTATTTATCTATCAATCAATCAATCAATTAATCAATCAATCAATCAGAAAACAGACTCGTTACAAAGAGCTGAAGGTGACGTCTTCACAACTGTCTGGAGATATTCTCTTTAACAACATTAAACCTTCACATATACTGGTTTAGTATCTTTGTTTAAAAATGGAAATAAACAGTTATAAACAATAAGACTTTGAGCTCTTCTCAGGGTTATCATGTTTGTTTTAGTCTGAACAGTCACACTCCTGGTGCCAGCATCAGCTCAGTGTCTCTCACACACTTCTGTTGTTGTGATCCACTTGAGATCTGTTGGAATCTAAAGGACATGTCTTCACTAACCTGGAAACACTTGTGACATGTTCTCATAAACATCACCTGGATTAAAACAGCAGCTTTTCCTCCAAACTGACTGCAACCTCATCACATTACCACCAACTGCTGCTGCTACAACTAATCCAATAATCAATTAGATAATTATCAGAATGGTTTTTTTAATCATTTCAGTTATTTTTCAAGCAACATCTTCAAATACCTGCAAGTTTGAGCTTCATCACATCCAAGTATAAAATTAAAATAACTGATTTGAACCGTTTGAACAACTCAACCTGAACACATCATCTTCAGCTCTGAGGAGGAACAGCAGGCACGTTCCCTGTGCTCCGACATGTCACAGATAAACTGATTGATAATCAGCAGACTGATCAGACAATAATCACCCTTAACACACGTGTAGGCACAAAGGTAGACTTCTTCATGAATACCTGGACAACAGCTACGACTGAAATATGATGAAGAGTTGAGGTTCAGCTGTTCCCATGCTAATTAAATCATGTGTCACAGGCTCACGCTGCCGATCAACCTTCACCTGCACAGCTCACCTGGAGCCTGAGAGCAGCCAGCCAACGCTTACGTCACAGTTATCATAAATAACCTGCATTTGTTGTGAACGTGAAACCGAGCTGCAGAAACATAGCAGTTAGCACTTAGCCGTTAGCTTCCTCGGACCGCCCAGTTGACTGATCACCTCTCTGTTAGCATTAGCATTAGCTAGCAGGCTAGCTGTTAGCGCGCACCAGAAACGAGCGCATCCCGGCTCCACTGCGCGCTTATTCACCCCCTCCACTTTCAATCTTAATGAGTGGCGTCAAGTTAATGCAGGAAACTGACAAAAAAGTGAGGCGCAAACCTGCACAGGTGTCGAGAGAAGACAGAAAAAGCGTTCTTACTGATTTGATGCAATTCTCTTTTTCCTCTCCAGCTTTCCAGCCAACTTAAACCGATCTGTTTACACCCAACAGCGAACGTCTCCGAAAGATAACATCTGTTTCACACATCTGGCATGATAAGATTGTCCGACGAAACATTCCCGTTTACAGTGAAAGGAAAAAAAGACGGTTTTCAGCTGAAAATTGGCGAAAAATTAAAGTTGAAGCGGTCGCTCCGTCATGGAGGCCATGTTTGGGAGCGACCGAAGCACCGCCTGTCAGCGCCAGCAGGAGAAATAGGTCCCAGAAAATATTTACTACCGCACGAGACGTTTACCGGGCAGAGTTTATCTTTCACACCTGGGTGAAGGCGACGTTCAGCCGCAGTGAGGGTTTGAAGTCTGTCGCTTTATCTGTGTTTGCGTCACACTCGGTTAATTTGTTTGTGTTGTGTAAAAAGTGCGTCTGACCCCGCGGAAGGATCTATTGGAGGGCTGTTCTGGTGAAGTGGTCTCTGTCATCAGACCTGAAGTCCCGGACTGGATCCACGAGGATCCGGACTGCTGTCGCACGTGCCTCAAACAGGGACCAGATAATTAACACATTATATTATTTTATAATAAAGAAAAAACAGTCTTTAAGTATCCTACTATTATTTATAATTAATAATTATATTGTACTTATGATGCACCCTGTCTGATCTATGATGAAATAATCCCAACAGTTTTAAACCTCTCTAGAACCTCCTTCATGACCATGAGTACTTCAACTACCACAAGAACTACCTTGTGGACATGAGCACCCTGAAGGACCATAAAAACCACCAAGGGCGACGCTACAACTTCCTCAAAAACCATGAGAACAACTATAAGTACCTCTAGAATCTGCTCCATGACCATAAGAATCACCTAAATGACCCCTAAAACGTCCTGAATGACCACAAAAACACCAGAGGAAACACACCCATGGCACCTAAGAATTATATGAACCACCTCAGAGACCTGTAGACAGAACCTCAACCACACAACTACAACCACACAAAGGATCACCCAAATGACTCCTAAAACCTCCTGGATGACCGCAAGAGCCACCTTAAGGACTTGTAGAACTACCTCAAGGACCTCTAGAACCTCCTCAGTTTCCACAAGAACTACCTTTAGGACCTTCAGAGCTTCCTAGGTGACCTCTAGAACCTATCCTGTGACCTCAACAACATAAAAAGGACCTCAGAACTCTGATCCCACGAATTACCTTAAAGATCTCTAGAACCCTCAGAAACCACAGAACTACTTTAAGAACCTCTAGAACCTCATAAATAACTAATCTGCCCAATGACCACAAAAAAACACCTTAAGGACCTCTGGTACCTCTTCACTGACTACAAGACCCACCTAAAGAACAACTTCTTGATAACCACTGGAACCAAACCTACTAAAAGGCTCATAGAACCTCCTTTAGATGATCTCAGGATATGAATGGGTGGCAGAGTTTTAGTGAGGTGTTGCTCTACTATAAGCTTCCAGAACAGCTTCAAGGTATTTAGTTTTTTATTTTGTTTTGAGTCACAAACGGAGTGTCAGTACCATTAAACAGGTGGAACTGAGAACAATGTGTGCTGTGCAGTAAATAATGAAACAACAAAACCTCCTGGTCACAACAAACCTTTATTCAACTCAAATGTATTTATTCCTTCACCCAAAAATATACAGAATCACGTTTTCACCAACACATCAAAAACAAAAACTTCACTGATGAAAGGATGAGTTCAGATAAACTCCACTCCGCTGTCTGTCACGTAGAAGGAGCTGCTCCTGTAAGCCTTCGTCCTGGAGGAGGAGGTGGAGGAGGAGGTGCAGTGAACAGTGAAGACCTGCTGTCTCCTCTGCTCCTTGCTGCCTCCTGCTGTCGCGGCCATGTTGTTTGCAGCCTCCTGCCGGGAGCACAGCAGCCGGTGGGTCACCAGCCGTCGCCAGGGGCGACAGAGGTACGGCCGGTCGGACTCCAAGGAAGAGGATGAGGAAGAGGAGGTGGGTCCACTGAAGCTCCTCCTGATTGCATGGCAGGTGGCGAAGACAGTGATTCTGTAATCCCTGAGAAGAAGAGCCACAGATGAGACAGGGTCAAAGCTGTGAAGTATTTACAGTTCTGATGGTAGTGACGTATTGTTCCACAACCTCCAGAACAGCTCCAGTTCTGTATGGAACTCTACAGCAGGGATGCACTGATGACTAGAACTTCGGTAATGACCATTAGAACCATCTACAGGAACACAAGAACTGTCCAGCCTCATTAAACTGTTCAATGACTGTGAGAACCGCCTAATACCCACTAAAGGACTTCTAGAACCTCCTCAATGATGACAAGAATCTCCAGACCAACAACATAAAGGACTTCTAGGACGTCCAGAGTGCCCACGCAGACCTTTAAAATCTCCCAAACACTCAGTTAAACCACCTAATGGACCATTTGAACCTCCTTCAAAATCACTAGAACTTTCTTAAGAACCGCTACAACCTCCTAATGAACCACTAGAACCACCTAATGAACTATTCATATCTCTGAGTGAACCACTCTTACCTCCTAATGGATCACTAGAACCTCCTAAAGAATCACTCGAACCACCTAATGGACGACACTAAAGCCCCCCTAATGGACTATTAGAACCTCCTTGAACACCTCTACAACCTCCAATGAACCAGTAGAACCTTGATCACTAGAACCACCTAATTGACCACTAAAACCTGCTAATGAATCACTGGAACCTTATTCATGAACCACTAGAACCTCAATCACTAGAATCACCTAATTGATGAATATCCACCTGAGCAGTCGGCCCAGCAGCTCTGAACACTTGCTAAGCTTCTCCTCCTGCTTGGTGAGGCTGGCCCCGCCCTCACAGCGATCCAGCCAATAGAAAGCGGAGATGCTGTCGATGAGGAGGAGTGCCAGGCCGGGCCGCAATGAGAGGGAGGTCTCCAGGAAGTGGAGGGTGAGGAGGAGCTGGGAAGAGGAGGAGCAGTGGACGACCAGGAGCCGAGACAGACATGAACGCAACGCCACTTCATCTGACCCGGCTGAGGGCGAGCTGGTAGAGAGAGCTAGACACACAGAAAGAGAGAGAGAGAGAGAGAGAGAGAGAGAGAGAGAGAGAGAGATATACTCTGGTGTAATTTATTGACAAACCAACATCACAGATGCTCCTCTCCCCCATGTGACTCAGAGGTGATGCATGATGATACTCCACAAAGACCTGAGTGCAAGATCATTTTAATTTGAATGTAAAAGATATTAAATGAATCTGTGTGTGGGTGTGTGTGTGTGTGTGTGTGTGTGTGTGTGTATATACCTGCGTTCAGTCTGTTGTCCAGGATGTTGACCAGTCGTAACATGTCCAGACTGTAGTCAGTGTCCACGAACACAACGTCGACCTCAAGACCGCCGGCAGCCCTTGGCAACACACAGCGACACAGCAGGTGGTACAGCAGCTCGGTCTTACCTGACACACACACAAACACACATTTATATATATATATATATATATATATATATATATGTATAACACAACATACCTGGGGTTCAGAGCAGGTGCAGGTTAAAGGCAGAACTGTTACCTGTACAGTGAACTCACCTGTTCCCTCTGTCCCATACAGCTCCACCACCTCACCTGAAAACACAAACACATGTGAGCTGAGCTCCAGTGATGTTAAACATATTTACAGTTTGGGCTGAATATAATACTGTGTGTTTGTCCTGTTTGTATTCAGTCAAACTGTCATTAACAGCAGCTGCGATCACATGTTCATCATCATGTTTTACTGTGACACTGAGGGAAACTTAACCCTTTAACTGCCTGCTCGACCATATGGTTGAACACACTTTGACTCTTCCATTGCTTTTTTTCTTGGTGGGGTTGTTAAAGGGTTAAAAACTGGAGGATTATCTAAGAAGTTCTACAGACTCTATTTCTCTGGAGCTTTATTTTGGAGGGACATCAGAGATGATGACATCATCAGGAAGTGATGTTACAATGAACCAGATCAACATGTGGTTCAGGTCTGGACTCTGAGGACCATTGTTGACACAAACACCAATCTAACTTTCAAAGTATGTTGTCCTCCATGAGCTGTATGTGACAGAATAAAATCATGTGACATGTGGTTTAACGGCTCTATCAGCTAACAGGAAGTGGGCCTGGACAGTCACCATGGTCGGGTCCACCATCTTCAGGAAACAGACGAGGTTCGATGTCCTTCAGACAGCGACGAGCCTCCAGACGAGCAAACAGCTGCAAAGACACACAGCTCATCACTCTGCTGGAGTCTGGACACTTTATCAATATGAACCTGATATCTATCAGTATTGATCAGAGTGGCATTTAATGAAGCAGGACGTCAGCAACAGAGCCTGGAAATCCTACAAATCAGACAGTCCCTGAACTCAGCACAGTATGAAAAGCTGCAGGTAGTTGAACCAGGAAAAGCCCGGTTTATCAATCAATAATACTTAATCATCAGTGTCCATTCTGTCACAGAGCCTACAGCCACCTTAACTACTACCAGTACTGCTGTTACTACTACTACTAGACTATTATCACCAGTAGTACTACCAGAGACCCGCTGTTCTTTGCTGCTCATTAAATATAGAGCTACGGCTGATACCAGGCTTTTACTTTGAAAACTTGCAGCATCATTTCCGGTGAGGAATTTTAGTTTAGGTTTGAACAGACAGAAAACATGTTACCGTCTGTCAAATAAAATGAGCGGGAAACCTCAACACAAACATTTCAAATGTATCACACAAATGTATCACAATCAAATGTAACGTAACGTGTTCCCTGTCTGACCTGAGCGCCGCTTTCACTCATTTTAGCACGGACTTCATCTTCCTCTCCTCCTGAGCTCCTCCGCCTCTGTCTGAACTCACTTCCCGCTCCTGCCGTTTACCGTAAAGGACGGAGAATGAGACGTTACCGTAAATAACTACCGGCGGCTCAGACGAGGTTCGTTTCGACAGGAAGCATTTTAACTGTGATAGTGTAACTACAGGAAGTACTTTTACTGTGATAGTGTAGCTACAGGAAGTATCTTTACTGTGATAGTGTAACTACAGGAAGTACTTTTACTGTGATAGTGTAACTACAGTGCCTCCTGTGTCAGAGTGTGAACCAGAGACAGGAAGTGTAATCCCATTGATCCTCTCTGTGGAATAGAATAAAAGATTCTTTAACTTTATTTATATAATGGCCTCAGTTTACATTCTAATGATGAATGACCATGATTGGTTTATTTTACTGTCATTTTGTCAAAGTGTGTACCTGCTGAGAGAGAATACTTCCTGTTTTACACCTGTCCATCGTTACCTGAAGGCAGAGAACAGAGTCGGTGTTGGAGGTGGAGGGTTTATTGACAGCAGCTCAGTATCAAACCACAGATCGTTCACATCCATCAAACCAGAAAACTAAATCTGTCAGACAGACCAGAAGCTCAGGTCCAAACCACAAGGTCACCTGTTATCAGGTAGCTGCTCAGGTGTGATAATCAATACATCAAACAGCTGCTCTTCACAGACACACCTGCATATACCTGCAGGGCTGACAGAGCTCCTCCTGAACAGCACTGATGTCCTGAGTATGGTAACGATGTGAACCACTTCACTCCAGGCTGCAAGGAATGGAAGACCAACAAGTCCAAGTCAGGACTGACAAGTCCGAGACCAACAAGTCCATATCAGGACCGACAAGTCAGGACCGACAGGTCCGAGACCAACAAGTCCACGTCAGGACATACAAGTCAGGACCGACAAGTCCGAGACCAACAAGTCCATGTCAGGACCGACAAGTCAGGACCGATAAGACCAACAAGTCCAAGTCAGGACCGACAAGTCAGGACCAACAAGTCTGAGACCAACAAGTCCACGTCAGGACCGACAAGTCCGAGACCAACAAATCCGAGACCAACAAATCCGAGTCAGGACCGACAAGTCTGAGACCAACAAGTCCACGTCAGGACCGAGAAGTCCAAGTCAAGTCCAACAAGTCCAAGTTGAGACCAAGTCCAAGTGTGTATTTTGTGCTAAAACAAATCTAAATAAAGAAAACAGCACAAGTACAGATTCTGTGTTTCTACAAAAAATGAGCTTTACATGATTGTACCTGAACACACCATACTCCAGCCTATGGTGCTGCTTGTGGTTTTGACCTGTTCCTGGATCAGTTTGATGCCTCTCTCAGAATACAGTATATACAGTGTGTATATATATATATATATATATATATTATATATATATATATTATATGTGTGTGTTCTTATCTTTAACTTATAAGCCATGTTAATTATCTGATAAACTCTTTAGATAAATCTTTAGAAATATAAACAATTTGAGAACAGTAGTTTATGACACACACACACACACACACACACACACACACACACACACGCACAGGCACACACACACACACACACACGCCAAACAAACAAACAAACAAACAGCTGTCATTGCTGACCTGTACTGCTCAGGACTCACAGAGTATGTTTCCCTCGGACCAGTCCACACTCTGGTGTCCAGCATGAACTCACAGTCACTACAGTTTCTAGTTGTGTCTTTTTATGTGAAACTTCATAGATGGTGAATAATAATATTTGTTCACTGTGATAGTGAGGGCAACAGGAAAAACATTCCCATAATGCTCTTTGGGATGTAAACAGGAGGTATAATGTTGCTGTGGATTCAGTGAGCTGCACTGTCGGCTACACGTCCTCCATCAGCTCACATGTAGTCCGACTAACCCAATCTGTCAGGTGACTCACAACAACTAAATATCAGACTGTGGAATCACTGCAGTCACATTCACTTCTCTGAAAAGTAAAGTAAGGACCATTTAGTAACAGACACAGAGCTGTAGCTGTACACCAGAACATGTGAGGAGGCAGCATCTGTAAAGGCTTTAATTAACTGTTAATTAATCATTTACTGCTTCATCTCTTAAAAGACAAGAAGAAGAACTTTTAGGTTGCCAGGTTGTGGAAGATCCTGCTACACTTTACTTTTTATTAACATTAATAACTATAGCCTATTGATTACAGTTTATAAACCCTTTATGAACGCTGTCTCCTCAGAGAGTGGACCCATTCATTCCACATCAACACGTTAAATCTCAGCTGGAGCCAGGCTAACAGGCTAACTGGCTAACACACTGACAGACAGCAGGTGACTGAACAGGGAGGTGAAGAGGAGAGAGGAGGTCAAAGCAGAACTCAAACAGAGAAGAAGAAGGTGATTTTGTCCTTTGCTTTTTCTGTTCAGGGGACAGAACTTTGATTCTCCGTCGTTTATCCAGATGTTCGTGCTGCAGCAGACTCATCTGGACAGAGGTGAAGACACTGGTCCTGAATCAGTGATCAGGTGTCTGATCGCTGTCTGAGAGGAAACTGTTTTCTAACTGTCTGCAGACCTGTGTGTGCTTGATGAGGCTAAGCTAGCCTGCTAACAGTCTGCTAGCCTAGCAGGCTAAAAACTAAACAGAGCAAGAGACTATTGCAACAGGCTATTGGCTAAGTGGCTGGTGGCTAGCAGATAACAGGTAAGCTGCAGAGCCTGCAGGCTAACAGGCTAACAGGCAAACTGTCTATCTACTGGGTAGCAGGCTGAAAGGCTAACAGGCTAACAACGTAGCAGGCTGACAGGCTAGCCGCCATCATCAGGACATGATCCCAAACACGGGGTTGTGACGACAGATGCTCGGGCCGATCTCATCGTAATCCTTCTTCGAGTGACACACCTGGAAAAACTCCGGCTGTAAACACAAGCACAGGTCAGAAACAAACAAACAAACAAACAAACAAACAAACAAACAAACAAACAAACAAACAAACAAACAAACACAGAGACATACAACAACAACATACAACAACAACCAGATACAAATAAATAAACAAAACAAGTGGCAACAAACAAACAACAACAAGCAGACAACAAAAAACAAACAAACACACAGCAAACAAAAACACTGTTATTAAAGCAAAGGCCACAGATTGTCTGTGACGTCTGTCACTTTTAGACCTGTGGGTTAGGTTGCGGTTATAGTATAAAACTACAAATGTGTGTGTGTGTGTGTGTGTGTGTGTGTGTGTGTGTGTTTAGTTACCGTCGACGCCAACATGGAGCCTCCAAACCAGACGGCGTAACGCTGCATGTGATGTGTGACGACCTGAACCTCCATCGGCTTCGGCTGCAAAATAAATACAATCAGTCAGCTGTCTGTCTGTCTGTCTGTCTGTCTCTCTCTCTCTCTGTCTCTTTCTGTCTCTGTCTCTCTCTGTCTCTCTGTCTGTCTGTCTGTCTCTCTCTCTCTCTGTCTCTTTCTGTCTCTGTCTCTCTCTGTCTCTCTGTCTGTCTGTCTGTCTCTGTCTCTCTGTCTCTCTCTCTCTGTCTGTCTGTCTGTCTGTCTCTCTCTCTCTGTCTCTGACCTTTATCCGTCCTTCACTCAGCTCTTCACTCAGTCTCAGTCGGGCGTCCACCACTCTCTTCAGGTCTCTCTGCAGCCGTCGGCCAAAGTCTCTGAACATGGTGGATCCTCCAGACAACACAATGTTCTGACACACACACACACACACACACACACACACACACACACACACACACTCAGAGTGAGCTGTCTGACAACAACATATCTGTGTTGTGTGTGGATGGATCAGCTGTTACCTTGTAGAGCGGTCTCCTCACATCGATTGGACAGCTCTGGATGACATCATCAACGACATCAGAGATGGGCTGCATGAAGTCTGGGTTTGCAAACTGGAAACACAGAGAGACACCATCACTGACCAGGGTTCCTCAGGGTTCTTTATATTCTCTTAGCTGAAGCCACATGAAGTGTTTGTGGCGTTCTCAGGGGCTGACAGGATGCGTTACCTCGGGGTGGAAGAAGATCTCGGGGCCCAGGAAGCGTTCATAGCCCACATCGATGTGGAAGGTGTTCTGACTGACAGCGTTCACTCCTCTGAACTGTTTGATCCATTTCTCCGGGTCACAGTCGTACTTCGAGAACTCTTTCACTATGTCAGGACAGATGTAGCAGTACCGCTCCTACACACACACACACACATGTAAATACACTCACACACACACACATACACACACATATAAATACAAAAAATGAAGAGGAGGAACAGTACAGGAGGAGGAGCAGCAGGAGGAGTAGAGGAGGAGGAATACAGGAAGAGGAGGAGCAGCAGCAGGAGGAGTAGAGGAAGAGCAGCAGCAGCAGGATGAGTAGAGGAGGAGGAGGAGCAGCAGGAGGAGTAGAGGATGAGGAGTAGAGGAGGAGCAGCAGCAGGAGGAGGAGTAGAGGAAGAGCAGCAGCAGCAGGAGGAGTAGAGGAGGAGGAGGAGCAGCAGGAGGAGTAGAGGATGAGGAGTAGAGGAGGAGGAATACAGGAAGAGGAGGAGCAGCAGCAGGAGGAGTAGGGGAGGAGGAGTAGAGGAGGAGCACGAGGAGTAGAGGAGGAGCAGCACAACAGGAGGAGTAGAGGAGGAGCAGCAGCAGCAGGAGGAGTAGAGGAAGAGCAGCAGCAGCAGGATGAGTAGAGGAGGAGGAGGAGCAGCAGTAGAAGGAGTAGAGGCGGAGGAGGAGGAGCAGCAGCAGGAGGAGTAGAGGGGGAGGAGCTACCTTGACGGCCTTGGCGGTCTCCAGCGACTGCTCTGGAGGAATCCCCACCTCTCTTTCTCTGAGCAGCTGCTGGATGAAGAAGGTGATGTCCCGCCCTGCGATGGGGATGTGCTTTATACAGCTGCCAATCACGTAGCCCTCAGCCTGCGACAAACAGCCACATGAACCAATCAGTGAGCAGAGAGGCTCCAGGTGGCAGCCATTTTTAAAATGAGTGTGTGTGACTGACCACAGGGATAGCGTGTGTCACTCCATCTCCACTGTCGATGACGACTCCAGTCAGGGTCCTCTGTCCCACCTGTCGGGATGTCCAGGACGCCGCCAGTGCCAGCACCGCCTGATGGAGGGACAAACCTTACTTAATTACACCACCTGGAACCTCCCACAGGACCTCAGACACCTGGAACCTCCTCCAGGACCTCTAGGCCCTTCTCAAGGACCATCACTACTTCAACTCACCTGCCTGTATCTCACCTGCCTGTGTCTCACCTGTACTGCGATGTAGAGTCCAGGTATGTTGAAGGTCTCGAACATGATCTCAGCAAGGTACTCTCTGTTCTCTGGAGTGTTGAGAGGAGGCTCTGTCTGCACACACACACACACACACACACACACACACACACACACACACACACACACACACACACACACATTAACAGGTAACCATAGCAACAGTAACAATGCTTCATCTCATGATACCACTTAATTCACTCAAGGTCCCTCAAGCACCAGTGGTGATTCCTCAAGGACCCTTGTCAAGGACTCATGCTCTTCTCAAGGACAATTCAACTTCCTCAGGGTCTTCGAGAAGATGCTCAAGGATGTCGACAACACTTGGAACCTCCTCAAAGACTTCTGGAACCTATTCAAGGACCTCTAAGACAAAAATAAGGACTTATGGAAAATTCTCAAGGATCTCTAAACCTGCTCAAGGGACCTCTGGAACCTCCTCAAGAACCTCTGGAATCTCCTCAGGGGCCTCTGGAACCTCCTCAAGAACCTCTTGAATCTCCTCAGGGATCTCTGGAACCTCCTCAGGGACCTCTGGAACCACCCCAGGGACCTCTGGAATCTCCTCAAGGACCTCTGGAACCTCCTCAAGGACCTCTGGAATCTCCTCAGGGACCTCTGGAACCTCCTCAAGGACATCTGGAACCTCCTCAAGGACCTCTGGAATCTCCTCACAGACCTCTGGAACCTCCTCAATGGCCTCTGGAATCTCCTCAAGGACCTCTGGAATCTCCTCAGGGACCTCTAGAACCTTTTCCACTAAAATATTTTTGGTTCTAACTTGTCTGCATGTTTATGTCAACAGTTTGAACTATTTTCTAAATCAGAGCTCAGTGTGTGTTTAACCTCAGGTTTCCATAGCAACAGCACCCGGAGACAGTAAAATACACAGTGTCCACCCACCATTAGGAAGCTGTGGTCCTCAGGTTCAGCTCGAAGGTATTTGAAGATAACCTGCTCCATAAACTTCTCCATCAGATCCCAGTCCTCCACCATCCCATGACGGATCGGCCACTGGACCAGAACCAAGACAGAAGAGAACATGAAGACAGGAGAACATGAAGACAGAGGAAAACATGAAGACAGGAGAATATGAAGACAAGAGGACATGAAGACAGGAGAACATGAAGAAAAGAGGACATGAAGACAGGAGAACATGAAGACAGGAGAACATGAAGACAAGAGGACATGAAGACAAGAGGATATGAAGACAGGAGAAGATGAAGACAGGAGAAGATGAAGACAGGAGGAGAACATGAAGACAGAGGAAAACGTGAAGACAAGAGGACATGAAGACAGGAGAACATGAAGAAGACAGGAGAAGAACATGAAGACAGGAGAACATGATGAAGACAGGAGAAGATAAAAACAAGAGGACATGAAGACAAGAGGATATGAAGACAGGAGAAGATGAAGACAAGAGGACATGATGAAGACAGGAGAACATGAAGACAAGAGGACATAAAGACAGGAGAACATGATGAAGACAGGAGACCGTGAAGACAGGAGAACATGAAGACAAGAGGACAACATGAAGATAGGAGAACATGAAGACAAGAGGAGAACATGAAGACAAGAGAACATGAAGACAGGAGAACATGATAAAGACAGAAGGAGAACATGAAGACAGGAGAACATGATGAAAACAGGAGGTGAACATGAAGACATGAAGACAAGAGGACATGAAGACAAGAGGATATGAAGACAGGAGAACATGAAGACAAGAGAACACGATGAAGACAGGAGGAGAACATGAAGACAGGAGAACATGATGAAGACAGGAGGTGAACATGAAGACATGAAGACAAGAGGCCATGAAGACAAGAGGATATGAAGACAGGAGAACATGAAGACAGGAGAACATGATGAAGACAGGAGGTGAACATGAAGACATGAAGACAAGAGGCCATGAAGACAAGAGGATATGAAGACAGGAGAACATGAAGACAGGAGAACATGATGAAGACAGGAGGTGAACATGAAGACATGAAGACAAGAGGCCATGAAGACAAGAGGATATGAAGACAGGAGAACATGAAGACAGGAGAACATGATGAAGACAGGAGGTGAACATGAAGACATGAAGACAAGAGGCCATGAAGACAAGAGGATATGAAGACAGGAGAACATGAAGACAGGAGAACATGATGAAGACAGGAGGTGAACATGAAGACATGAAGACAAGAGGCCATGAAGACAAGAGGATATGAAGACAGGAGAACATGAAGACAGGAGAACATGATGAAGACAGGAGGTGAACATGAAGACATGAAGACAAGAGGCCATGAAGACAAGAGGATATGAAGACAGGAGAACATGAAGACAGGAGAACATGATGAAGACAGGAGGTGAACATGAAGACATGAAGACAAGAGGACATAAAGACAGGAGAAGATAAAGACAAGAGGACATGAAGACAAGAGGACAACATGAAGACAGGAGACCGTGAAGACAGGAGAACATGAAGACAAGAGGACAACATGAAGATAGGAGAACATGAAGACAAGAGGAGAACATGAAGACAAGAGAACATGAAGACAGGAGAACATGATAAAGACAGAAGGAGAACATGAAGACAGGAGAACATGATGAAAACAGGAGGTGAACATGAAGACATGAAGACAAGAGGACATAAAGACAAGAGAACATGAAGACAGGAGAAGATAAAGACAAGAGGACATGAAGACAAGAGGACATAAAGACAGAGGAACATGAAGACAGAGGAGAACATGATGAAAAGAGGACATGAAGACAAGAGGACATAAAGACAGAAGAACATGAAGACAGAGGAGAACATGAAGACAGGAGAACATGATGAACACAGGAGGAGAACATGAAGACAGGAATAAAGAAAGGTGGTTGACCTCATCACCAGCAGTAGAACATGAGAGAACCCACCTTGGTTGCGTAGTTAGGTTTGTCCACGGCTTCGTCTCCGATGTAGAAGTCGAGGTCGTCGACTCCTCGTACGAGCCTCCTCTGGGCCTGTTCTCCCACGCTGGCCGACTCCCTGATGGCAATGCCTGGTTCACATTCACACACACAAACATGTGATTTAGGTGTTCTCAAGCAGAGGGAGGTCAAAGGTCAAAGGTCAGGTCAAAGTTATGTGTTAGGTGTGATGGTTCAGAGTAGTGTGAGTGGTTCTTACAGGAGGGCATGATGAACTGTGGCTCTGTGTTTCCAGCATAGCCGATCTTTGTGTACCTGCAGTCACACACATGAAACTGTGTTAGGAAACAGTGAAGCAGAGGTTCCCAACATCTGACTCTGGACCCAGGAAGTGCCTCTGAGGAACCTTCAGTCAGGTCCTGTATCAGAACACAATGAACAAAACATTTCTCATGGGACACTTCCTGGTTCCAGCTGAGTGATCTTAATTCATGTTCAATCATTTTGATGTTTGTTCTGTCGGACGAAAAAAACAACGTTCTGATCTTTACAAACCAATAATCAATTGTTTGGCTGAGAAAATAATCAGCAGATAATCAATAATGAAAATATTGGTGAGTTGCAGTAAGAAACAGGGCGGACACTTTTCAGTTGTTCCTCTCTTGTTCCCACTAGAACCAGGAACCAGTGAGTGTTATACTGGAACCAGTGTCACCAGCTGTTTTTAGTCTCTGCAGCTGTGAGAAGCTCCACCTTCACCTGCAAACTGACTCAGGTCTGAGACCAGTGTTACCATGGTAACAATCAATGACACATGCGCTGACCAGCAGCACCCAACAACAACAACAAACAGGTAAACACAGCTCATACTTTGAGCAAAGAGAAGGGAAAGAGTTTTTAGAGATGGCCGCCATTTTGTTTATTATTGTTTCTCTTCAGTAAAACGTCCTGTAGCTGTTGAATTCCTCCAAAACACAAACATGTCTTAGAAGAGTCTTAATTTACCCAGAATTCATTGCACCACAGTCCGACTTAAGACAATAAGAAGTGAACTGGTTTGTGCAGCAGATGAATTCAGACTCAGTCAATCTGAAGTCTGGCTCTGAGAGTCCAGCTCCTGTTCCACTTCCTGCAGCTGTCCTACATTCAGACCAGAATAGACTGATAACAGATCAGTGGGCGGGGCCTCACACACCGACTGTCCCCGTCCCAACAGTGTCTGTCAAACAGCAGGACATGGTTTTCTGCAGAGTCAATATGTCCCCAGAGACCAGCCCCCTGATGAGGTGATTAATTCTAATGATGCTGAAACAGAAACAGAGTCATCCTGAGGGTCCTGGGTCCAGTCCCGGGTCCAGTCCCGGGTCCAGTCCTTACATCAGCCATGAACCAATTCAGAATCAAAGTCCATCATCATTATTAGTGCCACGGGTGCTCAGCTCCGAGGCACTCCTCTACAGCTAGAATAGCATCTATTAATATTCCTTCGGGCTTATTATTATTCTTCCGCCAAATTTTGGCGTGTAACTCGTCCCGCAGCTTTGAGAAAACCCCGGTAATATATACATCAAAACGTGCGTCTTGATCCCGAAAGAGGTGCTATGACTTTTGGTGTTAAAATTCCAATTTTTCCCAAAGTTATTCCCAAAATACTGGGAATAAATAATGCATTAGGAATGCATTGGAATTTTCTTTAAAAACCCACAAAATTTCACCTTTTTTCTACAAAATTTCACCTTTTTTCTGAGTCACCCAGCTCTCTCATACCTGCACGTAGAAATGTGATTCAAACTATAAAACGGAGGAAAACTTCTGCTCTCTCAAAAACACAACAACTTTTTTTACATAACATGTAAACTTTTCAAACTATGAGCACTCAAAGGAGGAGTGGAAATCACTTTTTCTTCAAAGTTAGAGTGACAGCGTCAGTTGGCTAGAGTGCGTGAAGCAGTAAAAAATAACCTTTATTTTTATTTTTAACTCGAGCTCACGGCCAAACCGTAAAAAGGAGACAAATAATTCTTTCTGAAAATGTAGACATAGTTGTTGGGATTCATAAAATGTAACTTTGACAGGCAGGGTCTGCACAAAATTTAAACGGGGGTGCCGAGTCCGGCAGCAATACCTGTCTCACTCTCATTGACACCTAATGTAATCGTCTTTTTTTTTCAAAAGAATCTCACTCTGTCTTCGCACTGAGCTTACTCACTCATTTTAAGGAATATCTGAATAAAATAGAGACTGTAAGAAACTTCTGGCTTCAGTGTCTGTCACGGTGTTTTCGGTTTTTGAAAAGAAGTAACGGTTTTCTCATAATTTGCAATTGTTTTAAGCCATGTAGAAGCCAAATTCTGGGCAGATTTTCACATTGCCATGGCAACGGCAGCTCCTGACCTGTGTGCGTGTGTGCGTGCCTAGCAACCAGATAACCAACTCTCCAAGCTCCGCTAGCTTTACATTAGCCGCATGTTAGGTCTTAAATTACATTTAGTTAGGTCTTAAATATGTAAGTCCATTTACTGCTTCCTTTGTTGCTTTTCTTTTTGTTTTGTTAAATGAGTGAATGAAGTTGTGACGGTCTCCGCTGAGACAGAGGAGAGGAGAAGCTACTAGCCCTCTCTCGCTGTCACTTCTAGTCGCGTTGCTCTCCTCCCCAGTAATGTTAAATTTAGCACCGAAAAAAACATAATAGTGGTAATTTAAATAGCGGTTCATGGGATTTATTAACCCTCAGGGGTCCCTCTGTCCTTTTTTGGACATTTTCTTCACTTTTCTTTTTTGATTTGCTGATCATTTTGGCTGTGTTACAGCTGAAGGTATGGATTTCTGCAAGAAAGTGTCTTTTTTGACATATTTTTAAAATCTAATGTCAGTTACTGTTACAGGTCTATTATACACTGGTAACACATTTTGTACCCTCTGGGGTTCCTCGCGTCCAAAAAAGGACACACAAAGAAAATGCTATAAAATCATCATATATCAATATTTTTTTCTGCTTTTTTTTGCATACATCTCTTAAACCACTTCAGTTCTGCTCAAACCTACCAAATGTTTATTAGTTTTCAGGATTTTAACCCTTTAAATGCCAGTTTGAAGACATGTTGCCTCTTGTTTTATTAAAAAAAACAACACAGAATATGAGATATTTCCCACATAATACATGATGGAGGGATGTGACATTGTTTTATATCAGAGTCTTTTATATCAAGACATTTCTCAAAACCAGAATATGATCAGGGTGACTTTTGAACACTGGAAATAAATCATGTACTCATCCCGGCAGTAGCCCCCGTGGCACTCAAAATTTCCCTGGAATTTTCTAGTTATTATTATTATTATCTGATCACCTCTGCTGACTTATTTTAGTTGAACTGTTCCTTTAATAACAACCAAAACAACACACACACACACACAGGTGTGCTCTCTACACACATGATCATGATGATGTTCATAAAAACACACATGACGTCACAGTCTTACTGTGTACAGTGTGTGTACAGTGTGTGTGTGTGTGTGTCCTCACCCGGTCCCGCAGTCTATCACGCACGGAGGCAGCTGCAGGGACATGTTGTGGTTCAGGTCCGGCTCGGTCCGGGCCGCGGGGCGGTCGGTGGTTGTTGTTGTGACCGGATGAGTGCAGAGCGGAGAGCGCGAGGCTGAGTTAGACGAGTGTGATGGAGAGAGAGAGAGAGAGAGAGAGAGAGAGAGAGAGAGAGAGAGAGAGAGAGAGAGAGAAATGTAATACCTGTGTGTTGGACCGTCCCCTCTCGCTCTCTCTCAGAGCAGTTCCGGGTCGGAGGGAAAGGAGGAGAAAATAGAAACACATCTGACACGGCCTCGGTAACCGGAGAGAGAGAGAGGGAGAGAGAGAAAGAGAGAGAGAGTGTGTTTGTGTGTGCTACGTTCACGTGATGTCAACTACACTGTAAATATCGCTGCCTGTGACTGAACACACAACTCACCTCCGCCTCCTAGTGGTGATGACACACAACAACAACAACAACAATAATAACCCTAACAATAATAAATGTAGGTAATGTGATGTATGACGGATGCATCTGCTGATTATTGATTATCGGTGTTGGATCAGTTTGATCAGTGTGACTGAAATATTTGGTGTTTAACATCAACACTGACTGAACTGGTTGATCAGTTATCAGCAGTCACTGATTACTTTCTGATCATTAACTGATAATCAATGAATCATCTCAGTAATCTGAAGTGAATCTGACTGAGGAGGAAACAGAGCTTTGGGCTGCAGTACTAGTACACAGCAGAGAGTAAAGTGAAGTACAAGTACCTGAACCTAGGACTGCAGTGACACTCCTCCATGATGCTGGAACACACTACAGTAACACGTTGCCATCTACATGTGACTCTGCAGTCACTCCAGCAGGTGGCAGCAAACACAACAACGACTCACACTGATGATCCGTCTTTTGAAACAAACTTTATTAACTCACAGAGAGACAAACAGCTGGAGGAATAAAAGAGAGAGAGAGAGAGAGAGAGAGAGGGAGGGTGATACTGAATCACTGCCTGTCCAGGAAGTTAATCCAGTCTGTCAGGACATCAAGAGGCTTCATCAGTTCGTGTACGCATCTGACCAGGCTGGGACTCAGATGCGTACACGAACTGATGAAGCCTCTTGGATGAGAGGTGAAACGTCTTCCCAGACAAATAATCAAAGTCCAGTTGCGTTTTGATTAAAAAAAAAAAAAAAAAAACTCCTTTAGGATACCATGACCTGGACAAATGAGAATATACACAGGCTGACTACATATATACTGCAGTAAAACTACATTTAAACTACATTTATACTACAGTAAAACTACATATATACCACATTTAAATCACATTAAAACATTAAATCTAAAACTATTAAAAAAACACGTAGGCATAACCAGTGACACAAACCCTGTCACACTCATAACATGTACAAAAGGACAAATGATGATAATTACTACTACTAATACTACTAATAGTACCATTACAAAAACTCATACTATAAATAGAACTACTATTAATACTACTGGACCAATAACTAACACTGATGACACTAACTATAATAATACAAATACTACTATAACAATTACTACTATGAACCCTCCATTACTACTGAGTTACAAGTATTACTACCTGTAATGATACCACTACTACTAATACTACAATTATACTTCTAGACTTACTGTTACTACTACAACTAATAAAACTGCTTCAAGCACTAGGATTGTGTGTATATGCTATAATATTAATATACTATGACTAGTACTATACTAGAATACTAGTATTGTTAATGCTACTACAATACTAGTACTATTACCATTACTACTAGAACTACTGATAGAATAATACACTACCAATACTACCAGGAGTACCACTACTGAAAGTATTAGACTCATTAAATATTTACAAATACTAATACTTATAATACTATTATTAATATTAATACTAATACAAAGACAACTACCAATACTGCTGCTAACTACTACTATTATTAATACTACTACTACTACATGTATTATGCATGTACTATGACTAATAATAATAAACACAAATAAGGAAATCAAAATTAAGCAACTTAAGCATGCGCGCGCATCTAGGGGCAGTGAGAGCATGAATGAGACTCAGAAAGAGAAAGTTATACACACACAGAGCCAGGACAGAGCCGAGACAGAGCCGGGACAGAGAATCAAGAAGCCTTCATCCTCCTACTCTTCTGGACACTTTCATGTAGACGTTTTGTGGCGGGAGTCTGGCAGTGAGAGGATCGTTGGAGGGGAATCCCGCCGGTCATAAAAAGGGGGCGTGACCACCGGCAGTGTGTGTGTGTGTGTGTGTGAGTGTGTGTGTGTGTGTGTGTGTGTGTGTGTGAGTGTGTGTGTGTGTGTGTGTGTGTGTGTGTCTGTGTGTGTCTGTGTGTGTGTGTAGCACGTGCAGTGAGGACTACAGACCCGGAGGAAGACCCGGACCCGCAGCCTCTCACTGATTCCTGGAAGATGTTTCTTTCTTCTGTGCCTCCGGATATCGATTATCGAACGTCGTCCCTGATCAGCTGATCATCTACTGGGTTTCCTCTCCTCCGCGTCATGTTGGATTCTCAGTTTTACCTCCTCAGACCTGAACCGGGTCTCCGTGATGAGCCCCGGCGCATCCTCAATCAACCGGTAATCAATAACGGTTTATCGATTATGGCCTGAAGCTTCACTGTCACGTGAGACGGATCCGGTTTGAACCAGAGAAGAAGAGTTTTCATTGTCACTCTCCTCACAGCTCAACTTTTACTTCCTGTTGGAACTTGATGACGCAGCCTGTGTTTTTATTTTAGTATCAACTGACAGCTTCATAACGCAGCACCTCCTGACGTCACCAGGTGCTGCGTTCCTATTGGCCGACCATAGAGGATGACAAGGTGTGGAGCTGCAGGTTGTGGGCTGTAACAGCAGTGACCTGCGGGGGGCGATGGCTGCCGTCTACACCAGCCGGGACATCGTGGAGGATTTCCTCCACTACAAGCTGCTCAACAAGGGAGTGGCCTGGCGTTTCCCGCCGCCACCGCGCCAATCAGGCGCTCAGCGCGTACACCAGGAAGCTTCGTCTGCTACGTCGAGGACATCAGGCAGAGGCGTCGCTCCAGGTGATGCCCAGCAAGGTGAGGCGGTTTACTCATGTTGTCACGGCAACTGCTAATGAGTTCACGCCTGCTAATGCTACTACAAGTACTACTACTATTAATACTACTACTACTACAAACATTACTACTGCTACAAGTACTATTACCAATAATACTACTACAAGTACTACTACTACATGTACTAATACTATTTACATGTATAAACAGCTCTGATCCTGTTGAAGCTCGTAACAGTGGTGACATCATAGTACTGAGAGAAGGGGTGTGGTCAGGTGACATCACTGTTTCCTGTATTGTGATGTAACAGCTTCTTTCACGCCCCTTGCATAATGATGACATCACTTGTCTCCTCCTTGGTCATTGGCTGTCTCCTCCTAGATCCCTGGTCAACCCCTCCTCGGCTACAGGTCGCCCTGCGGTGCGCCGGTGACGAGCTGGAGTGCAGTTACCGTGGCAACCTCTCAGCCCAGGTGTCAGCACTGCTGCCCTGCAGGGATGGCGACGGGGGCGGCAGCCGGTCGGCGCGAAGGCAAAGCCTTACTGTGGTCAGGGAGGAGCTGTTCAGGGACGGCGTGAACTGGGGACGCATCGTGGCCATGATGGAGCTGGGAGGCGCTCTGAGTGCCGAGGTGGCCAAGACGGGCGGGGCGTGGCAGGTGGACGACATCGCCAGGTGGATGGAGGAGAGTCTGGACTCACCGCCGCTGCAGGGATGGATAGAAGACAATGGAGGATGGGTAGGAAGACAACAAGTCCTCTTTTTGTCTTTCTTCTTGCTCACGCTCACAAACCAGATGTTTTCAGTCTGATTAACGCAACGCTGATCCTTTCTTTCCTTGTTTCCTTCTTTCTTTTTCCTTTCCTTGTTTCCTTCCTGTCATCTTTTTTCTTTCCTCTTCCCTCAGTTCTGTGTTGAATCAGTCAGACTGTCAGTGAAGTAACCATGACAACACTGAAACTATAACATGGCGTGGACTTGGTGGTACTCTGTGTCGTCCAGTGTCCAGGAGTCATTGAAATAGTTCAGGGATACTTGAGAGTTCTTGACAGGGTTTCTGTGATCCTTGGAGGGGTTCGAGGGGTTCTAGAGGTTCTGATCAGCTCCTCCATTTGTCGTTGACCGGTGCCCCCGGTCCGTTCACAGAGTCACTGAAATGGTTCAGGGATACTTGAAAGTCTTGAACAGTCTTTGGTTTCAGAAGTCCTTGAAACGGCATTTGATCCTACAGGTCGCTGAAGATATTTCAGGGCAGGGACAGGTTTTCAAGGGTCCTTGATGAGGACAGAAGGACAGAAGTTCCTGAGGATGTTTGAGAGTGATGGAAGAGTCTTTGATCAGGTCCAAGGCCCTTGAAGGGGTTCCAGATTGAAAAGTCCCTCCAGGGTCCAGGAGTCACCGGGGGCTTCAGAGGTTTTTAAAGACCTGCAGCTTTTTCAAGGAATCTGTCTTTTTTTTAAATTTGCGTCATTGGACAGTAAAGAGCGGGAATCGAACCATGTTGTGTTTATGTGGTGTGTTCCTTAACCGTCATCTTAACAGCTGATCAATCAATCAGAAATAAATTAGGGATATTATCGATAATATAAACATACAGCAGTTCAACATCAAATACATCACATTCAAACACTGAGTGTGTGTGTGTGTGTGTGTGTGTGTGTGTGTGTGTGTGTGTGGAGATCAGATGTGACAGAGAAAAGAGTATTTTGGTTGAAATGCAAATTATATGCAAAGTGCAGAAAATCCCTAAAACTCTGCAGAGAGACTGTGTGTGTGTGTGTGTGTGTGTGTGTGTGTGTGTGTGTGAGAGAGAGAGAGATATGAAAGACAGAGGCTGTTTGATGACACTGAGACAGAAACAGCTCAGATCTATGTGAAGGATGAGTCGGACATGTTGGACAGTTTAGAGACAAACTGAAGAATAAATGAGTCACAGAAATAATCAATCAATAATCTGATTGATTTAATGATTGTTAGCTGTGGGAATATTTATTCAAAAATCTAACTGATCTTAATGAGCTGAAAATTCAAAAAGACGTTTAGCTCAGATAGTAACTGCTCCAGACTTTCATTACAGAAACATCAGGGTGAAGAAAACAAGCACACCTCATGTTAACTGTGTACTTAAAAACACACTGATCATTAACTCCACACGTTCATTTGAAAAGCTCTGATTAAAAATCTATCGTCTGCTAACACATGCAAAAATGTAATATATGATATGTCTCCTGTAAGAGGATATATTATTGTCACATATATACATCCATATAAGTTTATAACATATATGAAATACCCAGTGAAATGTGTATCTGTACATACATTAACAAGATTTATGATGTTATGTTATGATTAAAACAGGTGAACAGGTTGTGACCAAGTATGTTAATGATATATATTTAATTTATAAATGCAAGTTTATTAAAACAACATATATATAAAAAGTCTATATGCTTATATATGTTTTTTTATTAATATCTTATTTTAAACATGTCTATCTCAGACTCTTGGACTCTGTGTATAACATATATATATATATATATATATATATATATATATATCATATATATATATATATGATAACATATACTGACAGGCTGGATATATATTTATGTAACGTATGTCTACAATATGAACATACATATATAAACACATATTTGTATGGGTAGACGTCAATATATGAAATTGTTCCAATCTCTGATTTAATTTATACATATTTTTTGTTTTATATGTACATGTACTACATATATGGAAATGTAATATATGTACATGTTTTACTCTTGCGTTATATAAAGTTTGGAAACACTATTAAAATTAATTCAAAACCAACAGGTCCATTTAAAACCCGACAACACACACCTTTCAGTCCTGTGCTGCGTTCTGATTGGCTGACAGTCATCAGGCTGTTCACCTGTCAGATCTGACGTATCAGCAAGAGAGAGAGCGAGTGAGAGACCCCTGAACACAGCAGAGAAAAGCTTTTACTTTCTATTTATATTCTCTCCTGTCGCAGTGGTTTCCTTCAGTATATCTGCAGACTGATAAGAGTGTGTGTGTGTGTGTGTGTGTGGGGGGGGTATTACCTAGAAATATCTTTCCAGGTAATCACTGTGGTTGAGTTTCCGCCTCAGGCGTCAGATCAGCTGACAGACTGTTTCTGTAGAACTCTGTTCAACCTAAATAACAAGACAAGCTCTCTCTCTCTCTCTCTCTCACACACACACACACACACACACACACACACACACACACACACACACACACACACACACACACACACACACAGTGGACCTGAGGCGTGTTTTCAATTTTCAGTTAATGTTCAGGCAGTGAAGAGCTGGTGGTTTGTCTGACATTAACACTGCAGCAGATGAAGGTGTGTGTGTGTGTGTTAGCTCTAAGAACACAGGCAGTGGTGAGCTGAGTGACTTTCTGAGAATTTACTGACAAAACTTTTCCATCAAGACATTCAGATAGAGACAGAGTGTGTGTGTGTGTGTGTGTGTGTGTGTGTGTGTGTGTGTGTGTGTGTGTTTAAAGAGGAAGTCCAGACTGAGATTATAAAATAAAATTTTTCCTCAAACAAATGTTTAAATAAAACAATAAAAAGGATCAAACTCTGTTAAACTCTTCTGTGTCTAAATGTTTGCGGGTGGGTCACACATATATGTATCCCAGAGCAACAAGGTGTGAACAAAGGTTCTTACGTGAAGCAAAGCAGTAGGTGGCAGCTGAGCCGCCAGGAAACATGAACAAAGGCGACATCATAAACAAGTCGTTAGCTTGTTAGCTCGTTAGCTTGATAGCTCTGAGGAAGAAAATACACATTTGGGTAGTTGGGACTTGATGCCTGTCTGTCTGCATGCAGTGCCCTCTTCTATTGTATTGCTAAATTCCTCACTACCTTTACCTTACTAGCTGATTCATCTACAGGCCTTTCCTGGCCCCCTGGTAACTTGACCCTAGGTGTTACACTGTATGGCCTCCAGAGGACATTACCTTTTGTTTCTACACCTTTTGATCACTTGTTATCCTGTCTAACCACACGTCTATAACCCCAATCAACTGTATGTACATACTGTTGACCCCCCCACCCCCCCCCCCCCCCCCCCCCCCCCCCCCCCCCCCCTTTTACTGCAACTTGTATAACTGTCCCCCTGCCCTTCATTCTGGGTCAGTCTACTGCCTCAGACCCACTCTGTATCAGTTGGCTCACCGTATCCTGGGATACCAATAAACTCACATCACTACAGCAAACTTGGAACTAAGTGAACTAAGATTGTGGGTTAACCCACTGGTCATCTGGTCTGGGATGATCAATAAAAACTAATCATTCAGTTAATAACTGAAAATTGTTCATTGTCCTGTTACCGTGGTCTGACCACAACATCTACAGAACACAGCGGAACTACTTTCTACTGAAAAAAATAGTCCCACACCCCCCCTTCCTCACAGACCCAGTTCTCATCAGTCCACTCACACACATACACACACGCACGCATGTACACACACACACACAAACACACACATACACACACACACACATACGTTCCCTTCATGTGTGTCATGTTTCAGAGAAATGTGACTCAGACTGATGTTGAACTGTCAATCATCCAGTCACTGTGTGTGTGTGTGTCTGTGTGTTTCCTGTGGTCTTTGAAGCTGTCAATCAAACCTCATCTGCACAGTAGAGACATGAAGAAGACTTGGGGGGGGGGGGGGGGGGGGCAGTCTGAAAGAGAGGAGAAACTATTTTAGAGAAGGGTTCTCCCCTAATCATCATATTACTGTTCCACATCAACACACACACACACACAGGTTTCATTTGTGAATCTATCACAGTATAAAAGACACTGACTCAGTTTCTCTCTCTCTCTGATTTCCCAGAATGCCTTTGTGGAGTTGTACGGCGAGTCCAGACCTCCAGTCAGTTTCTGGTCTCTGAAGACAGTGTTTGGACTGGTTGTACTGGGAGCAGCTGGGATCGCACTGGGAGCCCTGTTCACCCAGAAATAACTCAGACTCTGGGACCAGACTGATCCAACCCAGACCAGTCTGAACTGGTCTGAACCGATCTGGTCTGGTCTGGTCTGGTCTGGACTGGACTGGACTGGACTGGTCTGATCGGGTCGGGTCGGGTCGGGTCTGATCTGATCTGGTCTGATCCGATCCGATCCGATCCGATCCGATCCGATCCGATCGGGTCTGGTCTGGTCTGGTCGGATCTGATTGGATCTGGTCTGGACTGGTCTGGTCTGGACTGATCTGATCTGATCTGATCTGATCTGGTCTGACTGATCTGGTCTGGACTGATCTGATTGGATCTGGTGTGGACTAGACTGGTCTGGACTGATCTGGTCTGGACTGATCTGATTGGATCTGGTCTGGACTGGACTGGTCTGATCTGGACTGATCTGATCTAATCTGGTCTGGACTGATCTGATTGGATCTGGTCTGGTCTGATCTGGACTGATCTGATCTGGACTGATCTGGTCTGATCTGATCTGATCTGGACTGATCTGATCGGATCTGGTCTGGACTGATCTGATCTAATCTGATCTGATCTGGTCTGGCTGATCTGGTCTGGACTGATCTGATTGGATCTGGTGTGGACTGGACTGGTCTGGTCTGGACTGATCTGGTCTGGACTGATCTGATTGATCTGGTCTGGACTGGACTGGTCTGGTCTGGACTGATCTGGTCTGGTCTGGACTGATCTGATCTAATCTGGTCTGGACTGATCTGATCTGATCTGGTCTGGACTGATCTGGTCTGATCTGATCTGATCTGATCTGATCTGATCTGGTCTAGTCTGGACTGATCTGATCTAATCTGATCTGATCTGGTCTGACTGATCTGGTCTGGACTGATCTGATTGGATCTGGTGTGGACTGGACTGGACTGGACTGGTCTGGTCTGGACTGATCTGGTCTGGACTGATCTGATTGATCTGGTCTGGACTGGACTGGTCTGGTCTGGACTGATCTGATCAAATCTGGTCTGGACTGATTTGATCTAATCTGGTCTGGACTGATCTGGTCTGATCTGATCTGATCTGATCTGGTCTGGTCTGGACTGATCTGATCTAATCTGATCTGATCTGGTCTGACTGATCTGGTCTGGACTGGTCTGGAGTCTGCAAATACAAAGTCACAGCAGTTCTACACAATAAGAGTCCTGTTATGATCACTGAGGTTGGAGTTTCAAAATAAAAGTTCCACTGCCTTCCTGTTAGCTGACGTCCTCACAATGAACTGGACCATGTTCCGCAGTGTTTCATGTTTTTCAAACAAATCACCATGACAACCGCTCTGAATGTTCATGGACATCAACATCACCTCCATGTTTTTATTCTGATACTAATTCCGTGTTGGCCATGTTGAACCTGTTGACTGATGTTAACTAACACGGATGAAGGTCACTCTGGAGAAGACAGACGAGGACTCACAGGAGACAAAGAGACATCACAGACGTTGTCTTCACTCACAACGAGGACACTCAGCAGAGACGACCTTCAAAGACTCAACATGCAGATTAAACTGCGACTGTCAAAGGAAACAAAAAACAAACCGCCGCCCAGCGACAGTCAGAGCGGCCATTTTGTTTTCAGGTTGTCCGTCCGTCTCATTCTCGTGGGCACGATGTCTCAGTAACACCTTCAAAGAACTTTTGGTGAAATTTGGTGCCAACATTCACCTGGACTCAAGGATGAACTGATTAGACTTTTGAGATCAAAGGTTAAAGGTCAAGGTCAAGGTCAGTGTGACCTCACAAAACACTTTAGCCACAACTCAAGACTTCACACAGAAATTATGACAACATTTCTCACGAATGGTTGATATTTTATATTTTCTATGACTCTGGATAAACAGGAAGTGACCTGAGCTGATTCCAGATGAACAGTGATCCAGCAGCAGGACGATGGACGCCAGCGGCTACATCTGATTGGCTCCTGACAGTTGACCAACATTTCTTCAGTCAAAGAAAAATCTGGATCATTTTACAATGAAGCAGCTTCTCCAGGGTGAATCAGATGTGGCTAATGACTGTTTATAAAGCTCAGGTATAAGAAGAGAGTCACAGATCTGTGACTGCAGAGCTTCATTGGTTCAACAGACCCAGATAACTGTTAGTTATCTGGTTTAACTGAGCCTAACATTGACCTGATCACCTAAACTGTGAAGCAGGTAATCACCTGGCTCAGTTAATCCTGGGTTTACCTGTCCAGGGACGAACGCATTCATGTGAAAGTGGCGGAGTTGTTAATTATAAGCAGCATCGTCTGAACCATGAATGAAGTTCTTAATATGATATGAGAGGAACGCTGACACCTGCAGGTGAGTTAAGTTATAACCACGTCCAATAGTGACATTCAACAAGGTGACATGTAAACAATATGATCACATGACTGGAAGGAAAAATACATATTTCTAAATATAATTACTAATAAAGTCAGACTACAGATATATTGTTAATAAGGTGAAGAATTATTATGAACAAACTTATGAACGTGATGAAGATAAAACAGCGAACGTTACTGTCAGACTGTTTGCTGCAGAGGAGAGAAAGAAAAAAGGAGACAGAAAAGAAAGAAGAGGAGAGAAAAGAGAAGAGAGAAAGAAAGAAAAGAGGAGACAGAAAAGGGAAAGAAAAGAGACAGAAAAGAAAGAAAAGAAAGATAAGAGATAGAAAAGAGGAGACAGAAAAGGGAACAAAAAGAGACAGAAAAGGAAAAGAATAGGGGAGGGAAAGAAAAGGGGAGGGAAAGAAAAGGAGACAGAAAAGAGGGAAGAGAGAAAAGAGAAAGAAAAAAGGAGACAAAAAAAAAGAGAAAGGAGAAAGAAAGGAGACAGAAAAGGGAAAGAATAGAGGAGAGAAAGAAAAGGAGACAGAAAAGAAAGAAAAGGAGACAGAGTCAGTGACTGAAGTGTTTGAAATGTATAAATCAAATTAATAATCATAAATATTGATCAGTGTGTGGATCATGTTCAGTGTTTATTCCTCCTCGTTATTCTGACCTCAGTGAGTAAAAGATTCATCACTGTCAGATTAAGGATGTCCTGCTCGCTTGTACACTTCTCTGCACTGCTGGATTATTATATTTTTTGTCATGGTGAATCTTGCGTTTCCTCCTCCTCCTCTGAGATAAGTCACATGACGTCTGACATCACTCTGTCAGACCTGAACAGTCAGGTGTTACTCAGAGCAGCAGGTGTGTTCAGCCTCTGACAGAGGAAATTTATCTTTGATTACTGATTATTTTATTGATTGATTAGTATTATTGACTTTATAAAATGTTCAGATGAACTGACTCTGATGTTTGATGTTCATGTATCAGACTGTTGCTGTTGTGTCAACATGTGATTTCATTTTCTATTTTTCATTTTCCATATTTTCCTTTTGTAATAAGCTTGTCATGAACTGAACATGTTGGTGTTGGTTGGTTCAGTTATTTTTATGCACTTTGTTATTTTTTTGTTTTTATCCGATGACAGGAAGTGACTGTTCATATGTGGACATCTTTATTTCAGCTTCTGACAATATAAGATTCTGTCTGGAAAAACTTTTGTTTTAGTCAGAAATGATTCATGAGAGTAAATGTGATGACAGTGTATTTTAATTTTATTAAAACTAATATTATTATTTACTGGTGTTTTCACTCTGGTTCACTCAGTTCTTCTCTTACATCTCTAATGTTCGTTCGTTTGTCGTCTCCCGCTTATCCGGATCTGGGTCGCGGGGGCAGCAGCCTCAGCAAAGAGGTCCAGACAGCCCTCTCCCCAGCCACTTCCACCAGTTCTTCCGGGAGAATCCTGAGGCGTTCCAAGGTCAGCCGAGAGATATAATCCCTCCAGCGTGTCCTCGGTCGGCCCCGAGGCCTCCTCCCGGTTGGACATGCCTGAAACACCTCCCCGGGGAGGCGTCCAGGAGGCATCCTTACCAGATGCCCGAACCACCTCAACTGGCTCCTCTCGACATGGAGGAGCAGCGGCTCTACTCCGAGTTCCTCCCGGATGACTGAGCTCCTCACCCTATCTCTAAGGCTGAGCCTGGCCACCCTGCGGAGGAAACTCATTTCGGCCGCTTGTACTTGCGATCTCGTTCTTTCGGTCATTACCCAAAGCTCATGACCATAGGTGAGGATTGGAACGTAGATCGACCGGAAAATTGAGAGCTTCGCCTTCCGGCTTAGCTCCCTCTTCCCCACAACGGACCGATTCAACACCCGCATCACTGCGGAGCGGGCAATCCACCCGTTTCCGGCTGAAAACCATGGCCTCAGACTTGGAGGTGCTGATCTTCATCCCAGCCGTTTCACACTCGGCCGCGAACCGCCCAAGTGAGAGCTGAAGGTCGGTGCTCGATGAAGCTAGGAGGACCACATCATCCACAAAAAGCAGAGACGAGATCCTCCTGCCACCGAACCCAAACCCGTCCACCACCCGGCTGCGCCTAGAAATTCTGTCCATAAAAGTTATGAACAGAACCGGTGACAAAGGGCAGCCCTGGCGGAGTCCAACCCTCACGGGGGAACAGGTTCGACTTACTGCGCGCTACGCGAACCAGACTCACACTCCTTTGGTACAGGGAGTTAATGGCCACTAACAAGGGGCCATCCACCCCATACTCCCGGAGTGCCCCCACAGGGAGCCCCTGGGAACACGGTCGTAACCTTCTCCAAATCCACAAAATCACATGTGGACTGGATTGGCAAACTCCCCATGCTCCCTCCAGCAACCCTAGCGAGGGTAAAGAGCTGGTCCAGCAGTTCCACGCCAGGACGAAAACCAACATGTGCTGCCTCCTCGATCTGAAGGTTCAACTATCGACCGGACCCTCTTTTCCAGTACCACTGGCATAGACCTTACCAAGGGAGGCTGAGGAGTGTAATTCCCCGGTAGTTGGAACACACCCTCTGGTCACCCTTCTTAAAGATGGAGACCACCACACCCGGTTTGCCACTCCAGAGGCACTGCCCCCGATGTCCACGCAATGTTTGCAGAGGGCGTGTCAAC